AACAATGCAGGGGCCTCCCCAGTGGTGCAAGGGGTTAAGTTGCAGCACTATGAACTGCAGTTCGATTCCAGCCAGGGAGGTGACCCACAGCAGACCTCTCCTGGCTCGCCCGCTGCTTCTCTCAGCAGTGGATTTCAGTCAGTCTGCCTGTTCTGTTCTCCACTCTGTCTCTGGTGGATCCTCTCACCTCTCCACCCCCAGCACCTCTGGCCTGTACCCCAGTTCTTGTATGCATAAGTAAATAAAGCTTTTAAAAAAGAAAGAGAACAGGGCCTCCCCGGTGGCATGGCGCAGCAGTTGAGCGCTGGGTTACCAAGCTGCCCCTAGCCTCGGCAGCGCGCCGGTTTGATCCCTGGCAGCCAGGCGAGGGTCCCACAGGGCGCGCAGACCTCTCCTGCCGCCCACTGCTCCCCTCAGCAGTGTATTTCGTTGGTCTGCCTGTTCTGTTCCCCGCTCTGGCTCTGGTGAATTCTCTCACCCTCCCGCGCTTCTGACTGTACCCGGTGCTTGTATAAATAAATAAATAAATAAATAAATAAATAAATAAATAAATAAATAAATAAATAAATAAATAAATAAATAAATAAAAAGAGAGCGAGAGAGAGGAGAACAATGCACTTGGGGTAGAATGCTCAGAGTAATATTTCTAAAAGAAGGTGCTGCACATGAAGCTTCCTTATCACTATGTGTGGACTGGGGCAAACCCAGGGGGAGTGTCCTATTCAATATTCTTGGTTTGACAAATATTTATTTACTACGCCCCAGCGATCCTGTCTAAGCCTCAGGGGTTCTGGTCTAGGTCATTTCCTTTATTCACTGTCACCAATGCTAAGCTCAAGTTGCTTAACACTAACAGCCAGCACAATGGGGTAGGCCGGCCTTTCAGAAATCCAGAGGGAGACCCCACAAAGGTTAACTATTTATGCATTCATAACTGTAAAACAATTACTTCATTTTACCTAATAAAATAACACAACAGCAAATGAAAACAAAGCACAAGTTCAAAAAGTAGTGTTTTCTAGCATAATTCTCAGGCAACCCTTCTCACATAATTGCATTAAACAACATTTTAAGAGAAATTACTTGTAATTTTATCACACTAAGATATTACTCACCTACCATTTCTTTATATGCATTTTCTAAAATGTGTGGGATTTTTCCTTTTCATAAATGTCCAGTGGAGAAAATTTTTATTTTTATTTTTTTTTTTAAGATTTATTTTTATTTATTTATACAAGCACTGGGTACAGTCAGAAGCGCGGGAGGGTGAGAGAATTCACCAGAGCCAGAGCGGGGAGCAGAGCAGGCAGAAGGACTGAAGTACACTGCTGAGGGGAGCAGCGGGCGGCAGGAGAGGTCTGCGCGCCATGTGGGACCCTCCTCTGGTGGCCGGGGAACAGCCGGGGATAGAACCGGCGCTGCAGAGGCCGCGGGCAGCTTCGCAACCCAGCGCTCAACCGCTGTGCCACCGGGAGGCCCTGTGGAGAAAATTTTTAAATTAAGCAATATGTGAAGAATAAACTAACCATCATCCATAATACTAGTAACCAAGACACAATAGCTATTGATGTTTTTTTGTGTATTTTCTTTACTCCTAATGGATTGGATGAAAACAATTTGGCCAGAAACAAAACTGGTATTCTTTAGTTTTGCTTTTCCTTGTGTAATTTTCAGATTTTTCTGTAGCAAGCCCTGCTTTTGAAATCAATCAAACAAATAGGTAAGAGAGTGAGAACTCTGTCCTTCTCACTCAGGCATCTCCAGGTCCCAGAACACAGTTTGACACACAGTAGGTACTCCAAAATGGTTTTTGAATGGCAAAAATTTTCGCCAAAAACCAGTGAGACCAACCAGGGTTGCTAATGAACACAAAATCACACTGCAGCTGTGCTGGTTATTATTTCCCGCTCTCATTCATTTGGTGAACAGTTCAATTTATGCCATGTGATCACTGTTGCTGTCTTGCTAGAAGACTGAAATCGAATTTCAACTCCAGCACACTCCCTGGTGACGTGACCTTGGCCAGAAACTTCAACCGCTCTCTGTCTTAGCCACCTCATCTGATAAGCGCTAGTCTGGGTGCTGGGGACACACCACAACAAAGGGTCCGCCCTCAATTTACATTCTGGTTAGGGGAAAAAGCCTAGGAACAAACATTTGTCAGGAGTTCCTAAGTGCTAGAAGAAAAAAGAAAACAAAGGGGATAGGAAGTGCTGTTTTATAAAGGTGGTCAGGGATAATGGTTTCAAACATATCCTAGTCCATGTTTTGCAAACTTCAAATTTTGACTAAGTGCAATCAGGAAATCAATGCAGAGAACTCTCTGCAGATTTTAAGCAATGAAATAAAATACCAGAGTGCATCACACACATGAAGGGTGAGCACAGTTTGGTGTCATTTGTTCCAGAGCATACACAAGTGAAAGGCTGCAGGCAAAGAGAAAGTGGTGGTTAGCACTATAGCAACCCCAGTAAGCAGTCTTAATGAAAGATACCCAAGCAGGGCCTCTCTCAGTGAGGCAGCCCACACCTTGTGCCCTGTCAGTACCTTACAGGACCAGTAATGGTAGCTGAGAGCGAGAGACAGAAAGACAACAGCAGAGAAAAGACTGGGACCAGAGAGAGGAAACTGGGGAGAGGCAAAACCAAAACTGAATGGTTAAAGCAATTCAGAGAGAAAAGTAGTATTATATTTTTTGAAAGCTTTATTTTTTATTTATACAAGAGCTGGGGTACAGGCCAGAGGCGTGGGCGGGTGACAGGATTCACCAGAGACACAGTGGGGAGCAGAACAGGCAGACAGACTGAAGGCACTGCTGAGGGGAGCAGCGGGGGAAACAGGAGAGGTCTGCTGCGCCATGTGGGAATCTCCCTGGCCAGCGGTGAATGGAACCCGTGCTGCAGAGGCTGTGGACAGCCTCACAGCGCTGCGCTCAACCCGCTGCACCACCGGGGAGGCCCAATATTACATTTTTGATACCAAAAAGTACCTGGCTGGAAAAGGACACCCCCCCTTTTAAAAATTAGAGAAATAAAATTCAGATGCAATTTACCTACAAAAAAATTAAAAGCAAATGAAATATGCTGCCCGTGATACTTCCAGATTAAGTGTATGGCAGTACCTGAATATTGTTACAAATTCCTAGAACATCTGCTCCACACTTTCTTCTCTATCTTTGGTCAGGTAGACAATATAAAGATTTTAAAGTAATATCGCCTGGCTTCTTTAAAGGTTCTTTCAACCTTTTAAACAGTTAATAGTTTTTGGAAATCATGTCAAGTCATCAGAAACAAGTAGAATGTATTCAAGGGAGACAGGAAATTATCAGACAAGCCTTCTCGCTGTGTCCATTCAGGCAGAATTGTTAAGACACAATTATTCCAGAACAAAGGTGAGCAAACTACAGTCATCCGGCTTAATCCAATCCGCTGCCCGTGTTTGTATGGCAGGCGACCTAAGAATGGTTTTTCAATTTTCAGGTGGGTGAAAAAAATCAGAATATTTTGTGATACGTGAAAATTATATGTCGTTCAAATGTCGGTGTCTGTAAAGTTTTATTGGAATCCAGCCAGCCTCATCCACTCAGCGGAGGGCAGCTTTCTCGCAGTACGCGAGATCTGTAGCTGCCCGCAAGGTCTAAAATATTTACTGTCTTTTAGGAAAAACGTTTGCCAACCAGCGTTCTCGAACTCGAGGCTTGCACTGCTCCTCCAACACGCCTCCAACCCTCTTCCCTTTCCGCTTTAGTCAGGAACGAGGCTCCTGGGCCTATTGTAACAGTGCATCGTACCAAACTGGAAACCAGAGGTAACTTTCTATGTAAGGTAAACATGAGCGGCTCTGCCACGCACCCCGGTAACTTCTGCGTCTGTTTCCCGAAACGAAAAGTGGGCACCACAGGGGAATCGGCATGATTACGTTTGAGAACCTCCACGCTCACTTGCACGAAGGCACGTGGAGCGCATCATGGCAGCATTTTCGAGAAGCTTCTCTTGGAGTCTGGGTGTAGGCTGCCGTTCCCTTCGCACTTAGGCAATTCGGCCAGCTCTCCCCACCCTGTCCCCCCAGCTCCTGGCCCTCATTTTCGTTTCCTTTTGGCTTGGCCGTCTGCTTTTTCCTCACCCACACGCACTCAGGGCTACCAATTTCCGGGGCAGCGCAGGGCTCAGCTTAGATCAGCGCTCCCCAACTTCCCCCGCTGTAAGAGGGGTCGCCCTGGGACCCCCCGCAGGTGACGTGAATGACTCAGCAGGGGCCCGGGCTGGAACGCAGACAGGAAAGCCAGGGCGCGGACAAAAGCCACGGCTCGTTTTAAGGCCCCAGAGATGTGAACAAACGAAAATGTAATGCAAGTCAGCTTTGGCCCGAAGGCGGCCTGGGCCAGGCCGCAGGTTCAGCCTAACCGGGAGGCCTGGCGGCTCCTGCAGTCAGAAAATGCCCGCGGCCTCTCCGAAAGGTCTCCTTCGCCTCTGAGAAATTCCACCTCGGCTCAACCGGGCCCCAGGAAAGCCAGGAGGCGGGAGGAAAACCTTTCGGGGGGACACCGAACGGCAACCCTGTGATGATTGGGGAGATTTTGAGGGCACGGTCACCTCTGGAGACCAGAAACCATTTTGCTCTCTCCGAGATTTTGCTTGCCGAAGCGGAGGCCACCTCCCTGCTCCCCCCGCCCCCCATCGCCGCATCCAGCAACCACGCCCCGCGGCCCCAGGGCTCGGCGCCCCGGGGCTCGCAGCCCCCGCGCAGCCAGCACGCCGCGCCTCCACCCGCCCCACCCCGCGCGCCCCCATCCGCCCCCGCGGCCGGCCCTGGGAGCGCCGAGCGAAGCCTCGCGCCTGCGCCCGGCCGACTTCCTGCCGCGGGAGGCCCCGCCCCCCGGCGCGAAGCCCGCCTCCCCAGGCCGCGTGAACCTCGCCTGCCGCGCGCCATTGGTCCGGACGCCCGAGCCGTTGGCTCCCAGGCCCGCCTCTCCGCCGCCGCTCACTTTTCCCAGGGCGGTTGCGCCTGCGCTCAGCTGCCTGGGCGGGCTGGGAGGCGCGCGTTGAAAAGTCTCGTTCCAAGTTTGGAGAGAGAGAGAGAGGAGCGCGCCTCAGACCTCGGTACCCGCGAGCGGGGAGGCGGCAGCAAAGGAGGACGCGGCGTCTGGGGAGCCCCCGGGCCGTGCGGCGGAGCTCGGGCTTCCAGGGCTGGACGTGGGGGACGCGCCCGGGAGAGGCAGGGGCGCCTGCGGCTGGGCTGCGCTCGGCTAGTGAGGGGAGTCCGAGGCGGCGGCGAGGGGCGAACGACCCGACGCAAGATGGCGAGTAAAGAGAGTAAGAGGCCCGGCGGGGAGGCGCGCGCCGGGGCGGCGGGGGGCGGCGGGCGCGCGAGGCCGTGGCACGCGCCGGCGAAAGGCGCGAATTGGCGTGAGGGGCAGGGGGCGGGGCCGGCGCCGGCGCCGGAGCGGGAGGCTGGGGCGCCCGCCTCGAGGGGCCTGCGCGGGACGGGGCCGCGCCGGCGAGGGCCGAGGGCGCTTCCGGAGCCGGGCGCGGGGCGGCGGGTGGGCCCCCGGCCCTCCGCCCCCTCCCCTCCCCCCGCCGCCGGGCGCCCTCCCGCGTTCTCCGCGCGCCAGGAGGCGGCCCCCGCCGGAAAGCGGGCCCGGCGGCTCCTTCCACGCGCGCGCGTCGACGGCATCGGGGTCGCGGCCCCGGTCCGGGGGATTCTGGAAAGCGCCGGCCTATGGCGCCGACGCGGGCTGGGTGGGAGCCGAGGCCGCTGCCGGTGGGGGATGGGGGCCGCGGGCCGTGGGCTCGCTGCTGCACGTGGATCCGTCTCCCCGGGTGGGTCGCGGCGCCGCTCTACATACGGGTCGTCGTCCCCGGACAGGTGCGGACAGCTGGGGCCGGCCGAGCAGTTTCGGTCGCCGTGTAATCGGTTACCCGCGGCTGGGGGTGCGGGCGGGGTGGTTCTCGGAGTGCAAAAAATGAGCTGCCTGCTGCACATTTTCTCTCGACGTTCTGCAGAGCAGTTAGTTGGTCGTGGCCGAACGAGAGGTAAAGGGAAAGAATAGCTGAGGTGTGGCCATCTCGAGGTGACCTCCAGTGTCTGTGTACCGATTCGGATCGCGATCCCTCTCAGCCGCTTAATCGTGTGGGCTTTCTCCAAATTCCAGTGTTTGAAGATACTGTGGAGGAGCGTGTCATCAACGAAGAGTATAAGATCTGGAAGAAGAATACACCGTTTCTGTATGACCTGGTTATGACCCATGCTCTTCAGTGGCCGAGTCTTACCGTTCAGTGGCTTCCTGAAGTGACTAAGTAAGGGTTTCTGGCTCCTTTTGTCTTGTATAAATTTAAGTGTTGACCTGAATTGGCTGGTTTGGGCGTCTTACACGCAGAACGTAAGCGTACAATCCACTTAGCTCTCGGATGGGGTGACAGGTGATCTTTTTCAAAATTGGAGTGATTTCTGGCGAACAAGTCTGGCGTTAAAACAGGAGAATTCCTTGTGAGATTAATTTGTGAGGACGGACCCCTGGTATAAGGGACATTTTGGGAGCCTCAGTATATACAGCAGCATCTCTCCGGGTCCCACCCCAATGGATTTCTTTTTAAGACCTTAACAAAAAATAGTATATGTGCAGAAAGTGCCCAGATGACAAGCATGTGATTTGATGAATTTTTACAAAGTGAGCACACGTATGTAATCAGCCTCCAATATGAATGCATTTTAATTGGACAAGTGGGGAAGAATTGAGTGGCAGTTTACCAGAGACAAGGTGTTCCTGATTTCCAGGGTAGAATATCCTTGGAAATTGCTGTTCGTCTTCTAAGGCTGTTCCTAAAATTTCTCTCATTGGAATTGCTGGCATTTATTGAACACATAGAACAAAACTTGGGGTATCTGAAGAATTGTCTGTTTGCTTTCGTTTAATTCTCACGGTGGTATTACCACCACTTTTTATCCTTTTTATTGTTTTTTGTTTTGCAAATTAAGGATCCTGTCTCAGATCACACCGCTGGTAAGTGGTGGAAAGGACTTAGCCCAAGCTGGCCATACACTTGCACTTTTCTTAGTACTTTAAAGGTACGGCCAATTTGGGTATTGTGAGCATATAATTTAATGAATCTAGGAAGGGGGTTTTTGTGACAAGTCTTTAAAAGGAAAGTTAATTTTATTTAAAACCGCGGAATAGCAATTTGTGAATGTTGACTTTCATACATATAGGGGTTTCCACTGGGGTCCCCAAAAATCTCCATGTAAATGTACAGGTATGGGAAGAGTAGCCAAGAACAAAATAATGGGGACTTCTAAGCATTACCATTTGTGATAGCTTTGAGCATCAGATACTAGAGCACTGTGTGAATTTGACTCAGTGCCTTTGCTTAACCAGATTTAAAACTTCCACAACTTAATTTACTTTCTCTTGGCTCTTTTTGACCTACTGTAACAGGACAGAAGAGTGCAGGAGCTTTTAAGGTTAGAGGCCTGGAGTTGAATCTTGCCTCCTTCCTGGTGGCTTTGTGAGTCAGGGCAAGTTGGTCAGTCCCTGTCCCTAAGTTGTATGGTCTGTAAATGGAAGTGCTGACAATACTGACCGCCTACTTTTGAGGGAATTAGATCAGGGTAAGTATACAGTAAGTGGTGACTGATGCTGATTCTCCCAGCCTTTCCTGTTCAGATTGGTTAGGGTAAAACAACTACTCTGTTTCTCCACTTGGGTTTCAGTGAAAGTTGCTTACTGAAGCCTTTTAAAAATGTTACTTATGATGTGTTTTATATAAAGGTTTTAAAGGTAATAGTCTTCTATATGTTCTCAGCCTGGAAGGATTGCTTTTAAATTAACACTTGGGAGCTCAACAGAAAATACTTCAAATTATGTATTATTCCATATTGGTCTTTGCATATAAAGAAGTGGGAACTGGTTGTGGGATGTGCAGTGGCTCTGGGAATGCAAGAAAAATGCCAGCCAGCTTGCATTCTTGGCAGTTGAGGACTGCTGTGTAGCGCTTTGCAGGGCTCTATTTGAGGTGTGAAGGGGCTGCGATTGCATTTTGTCACTACACAGAACAGTAAAAATGTTATTTGAGAAACTCGACCCTACTCAATGGCATGATGCCTTCTACTGAGGTATAACATGCTCCCCACTGATAACTGCACTTGGGAGCTTTTTTCCTTAAATCAAGAAAAGTAATTATCTGAATAATTGATTGGCTTTTTAAAAAACTTTCATTTAGGTATTTCTATAAGAAATTGTTTTAAAACTCAAAGATCATTAAACATTGTGGTTGACTAACTTTTGTGATAGATCAAATATTGATAATACAAAAGTATTTCATCCGTATTGATAATACAAAAGTAGAGTGAAAAGTAAGTCCCCTTCCCTATCCTTACCCAGACCAGTCATTGTTTTCAGTTTCTTCCCCATCCTGCTAGCATGAAGTGCATACATTTATTTTGCCTCCAGCATTTTGTATGGCAGTCAGTGGTTGACTAGACTTTTTTGATTAAGTGTGTATTGGAGACTTTACTCAGCCTGCTCAGATAGGCTCCCTGGTTTTAAGGACTCCCACTTATGGGTTCACTAGAATTTGTGTCTTCAGTTCCTTAGTAATGGATATAGAGATTTCCATTTTTTGCTGCCACAAGCAGTGCTGCTGAGAATGATCTTAGGACAGTCTGATGGTTGGGTGAGTTTTTTAATTTTTTTTAAAGATTTATTTATTTTATTTATACAAGCACTGGGTACAGTCAGAAGCACGGGAGGGTGAGAGAATTCACCAGAGCGGGGAACTGAACAGGCCGACTGATGAAATACACTGCTGAGGGGAGCAGTGGGCACGGCTGGAGAGGTCTGCACGCCATGTGGGACCCTCGCCAGCGGCCGGGGATCGAACCGGTGCTGCAGAGGCTGCGGGCAGCTTTGCAGCCCAGTGCTCAACCGCTGCGCCACCAGGGGAGGCCCTGGGTGAGTTTTTTAAATGTGGGATCAGTGGTCGGAGGGCTCTAGCACAGGCGCCCGACAAGGTCTCTTCTCATCAGCGCCCCTGCAGCCTTGGGTGCGTTCAGTGTGGGAGGAAAATAGAGTAATGTTCATTGAGGGAAGTTGAGGGAAGGAGCTTGTTTTTTAATGATCGAGGTGATACGAATGAAAAGCTTCATGACCCCATTCCAAAATCTGGGGGTGCTCAAGTCCCCGACAGTCAGCCGTCCACATTTGTGAGTGTTGCATCCAAGGATTAAGCCAGTCCGCATCTGCGCTTGCTGTCCTTCGTGAGCGTGGAGCCTGGAGATAGGAAAAACTCCCGTGTTTGTGAACCTCGGCAGTTCCAGCCCACATGTTGTTCAAGGGTCAACTTTATGTTTGCTAAAGAGATTATAGTGTGTTTGGGGAAGACTAACTTGTTAGCAACTGATTTCTTGTAGGATTAGTGCGACTTTTTTTCTTTCTTAAACAGACCTGAAGGAAAGGATTATGCCCTTCACTGGCTGGTGTTGGGGACCCACACTTCCGATGAGCAGAATCATCTCGTGGTTGCTCGTGTTCATATTCCAAATGACGATGCCCAGTTTGATGCTTCCCACTGTGACAGTGAGAAGGGTGGTAGGTATACCGTCCGGTGTCTAAGGGAGTATGCCTCTTTCTCGTTACGTATTACTAGGAGTTTACACTAATATCTTTTGGCCCAACGGTTTAACTTCTAGAACTTGATCCTACAGAGCTACTCATCCACGTGTGCAATGATTTCATAACAGTATTATTTGCAGGACTGAAAAATGAGGATCGACCTAGCAATCCATACATTAGTTCATAGGAAATTGGTTAAACTCATGTTATATCTGAAAAACTGCAGTAATGACATAAGAATGAAATAAACCTGTATGGACCAGTATGGAAAAGCGTCCAAGATAAATTGAGTTACTGTTATATGTGATAATAGCACTCATTTTGGTAAAAATAATGTGTTGGTGTATGCGTGGGGAAAAGGTGGCAGGCATGTATACCAAATAGTTCATGGTGGTTTTGTGTGTGTGTGTATGTGAAGGTGTTAACTCCTCCCCTCCCCTCCCCCCCCCCACATTTCTTTGTTTTAGTATTCCTACAACCACCCAGCAAGTTGGGTGATTTTTGAAAGAACTCATAAGACACGATAGCAAATTATACTCCTGGCTAAAGTTTGTTACAGTAAGGAATACAGAACAAAAGCAGCAGGAAAAAGACATCAGGGAGCTTAGGGAGGTCTGGCACGGTCTCCTTCAAGGCTGCATGGGACGTGCTTTCTCTCTGGCAGCCAGTGACAGGGACACATGGTGATAACTGCTTAGGGGAAACCCATTCACGTGTCAGGGTCTGGGGGCGGGGGGCTAGTTTTGCAGGCGCATCCTGCTGACAATGAGCCATGACCACTGAAACTCAGCGCCCAGGTCATGAAACCAGGTGCGTATCATCCATCTTGTTGTTTGTGCAGTGCACCCCTGACGAACTGGTACAGCGCGGTCCTTCATTCCAGGTGTACACCACAAAATCATCAGTTCATCAGTGACGGAAAGAACCTTCTGAGATCCATGTTCTCAAGAGTTGGCCAGAGGTCAATCTTGGTCCCAGTGTCCCTCAGAACCTGGAGGACTAAGCAGCCAGACCAGCTGGGTTGTTAGTCTTTCCTCACAGCCCTAAATGACTTAGAGAGCATAAAATTCCCAGCATCTGCTTTAGGGATTTTTCTTACTGAAAATAAAATTTTATAACTAAAGTCCTAACATTCCTACCCCCGTTCCCCTCTTGTTGTCTTGTCCAGAATTCATCACGGTTAAATTTGTGTGCCATTTTGAACTGTTGGGATTTCTACCATGTATACAGTAGTAAATAATGTGATGTTTTGCAGCCTGCTTTTTGTCATTCAGCCTTGGTGGGGTGGTGGCCTGCGTGCGTGCAGGCGCCGTGTAGATATCTATCTTAACTGCTATATAGTATTCCATTGTGATCAGACCTGTTTCTCCATTTGTCTCCCAGGGTTCAGTTGGATTTTGTGTGGGCATGGTTTCTTGCTCCTTTTTTAAATTAATTTAATTCTGGGATTAACATTTTTGCTCCTCCACATGTGCACATGTTCCACTCACCCTCTGCCAAACAGGTTTTTGCTCTTAAAATGTTTCAGTGAACATCTGTGCCATGCCCGCATACATGTGGGGGGAGGGTATCTAGTGGGAATGAGACCACTGTGTTGTGTGATGCATTCCTTGTCAACTTAACATGATACAAAACTGTTGTCCAAAATGAATTACCCAGTTTCTCACTAGCAGTTCAGCGTCCATTCCCCGACAACTTCCTGTGTGATTTCTTTAAATATGGTTTTAATTTGATTTTCTTAATGCTTTAGGTCCTGAGTATGTACTTAGATTTTTGGCTTAAGGATTAGTCTCCATGCATAGTAGATGGCTATATTAAGCTAATAAAGTTACGTGTCCAGTGTATTATGTTCTAATGGGTGACTTAAGTATTTCACGTACTCAAACAACGTATTTTTTGAGTTTTCAATTTTGGTGGTCTCTTTTTGGGTGCCTTTATACTTAACTTCAGTTTTCTTTTTCTTTTTCAATATTTATGTTTTATTTATACAAGAGCTGGGCTACAGGCGCGGGAGGGTGAGAGGATTCACCAGAGACAGAGTGGGGAGCAGAGCAGGCAGGACTGAAAGCACTGCTGAGGGGAGCAGTGGGTTTTCTTTTTAATGGATACTATTATGATCATGAAGATAATGGTATTTCAAATTTTTTGAGTTTGAGGAAGTAAAGCCCTGTGTTCAAAGTTAATCTTACCTGGAAACCCATTTTTTTTTAAACAGGTGAGCTATTGAAGTTGTTTATACTAAAGAAATTGGGCAACTTGAATATCTTCCATAGCAGTATGGAGTTGGGGAGGGGGCAGATTTGGAGGAAGGGGGGCGTGATAGGACCATGAAGGATCTCTTAAAAAGGCTGAGGCGCCTTTCTTCCAGGGACACATTGGAATGGGAAAGTGCTAAGAAGGGGAGCCATGATGGTCTGGGCTGTGAAATGGGATTGAATTTTCAGCCACACAGAAATGGTAAACTGTTGGCTACAGGAAAGAAAGGCTTCATTGTGGTATTAAGCCGTGGAGCCAGTGGTCGCCAAGCATCCCACTTACGGAGAGCTGGCTGGGACTGGGGAGTGGCTTACTGCTTTTGGTGTTATTTTTCCAGATCCCGGCCAGTCTATTTTACCTGTTACTGCCTGGTTCCATGAGGCATTTGAGTTAGTGTTCCCTGACCTGAGACGCAGGGTGAGCTAAAAAGGAACGTGCAAAGAAGCAGCAATATATAGGTCAAGAAGAAATGACACAGTTATAATGTGACATCGCTGAACTCTGTGTCAGCATTTAAGTCAGGTTTTTATTTATGAGAACAAAGAGGGAAATGTTCTTGTTTGCTATTGTCTACTTCAGTGTTTTCTGTTTGTATTCTTTCTGCTTTCATCTTGCTGCTTCTCAGACTTTATCCAACTTTTTGTGTGACTTTCGTTACTTTTCCAAGGCCTTTTTAATAACTGCTAATACAAGTCTCTCGCACACCAGATAGAGGTTCCTCCCTCGTTTTAGCTTTGCCACTCCACTAGCAGTTGACTCAGATATGTTAGAGGAGCCAGTAGCTATGTGTGCTTAGGTTTGGGTGGGAGTTACTTAGCATGTATTTCTGGCTTGAGGGTGTTTCTGACTTTAGACTCAAGTACTGTCCCTACTCCTGAAGGAAGGTAAAGCCTTCTCTTAATGAGAAAATAAGATGCCACTTCACTGCAGTCCTTGCAGATTACTTGTACATGGTTATTTGAAATTTCAGGGAATAACCACATCTTCACAAGTGAGAGGGACTGAATTTTAATTGTTCTATATCCAAGGTGGAACTGAATTCTGAATTCTCTCGCATCAAATCACTATCTGTATTTTCCTGTGCAAATGTCTTTTGAGACTAAATGATTTCCCAGTGCCCTGTGGACCTGTATATCTATGTTCTTTCTCTCGCTGGTCATTTTGTCTTGTGTTCTGTCAGGTTAAAATCCCAACCCTATTGGGTTGATTCAGCTAGGTGAGCTGTGATTTTTAATCCTAAGTGTATGTGTTTATTCTTTCTTCTCACATTAGAATTTGGTGGCTTTGGTTCTGTAACAGGAAAAATTGAATGTGAAATTAAAATCAACCACGAAGGAGAAGTGAACCGTGCTCGTTATATGCCGCAGAATCCTCACATCATTGCAACAAAAACACCATCTTCTGACGTGCTGGTTTTCGACTATACAAAGCACCCTGCTAAGCCAGGTATGGGGGAATAAAGTCAGGTCGTCACTTGAAAGTTTTTCTTGGTTTGACATGATAATTGCTTTGGCATCATTCAAATTAGTACACACTATAATTTTTAAAGGTTTAAAAATTGTTCCAGGGTGGTGGTGGGGGGCGGGCGGGGAATGTCTCAATAACCACCCTCAAGTTCAGTGATTTAACAGTAGGACCTCACAGCGGGTTATACTCCTGGCCAAGGTTTACTACAGTGAAGGACACAGAGCAAAAGTGGGAGGGAAAAGACAACACGTGAGGAGGGAGCGTCCAGAGCGGTCAGGCCCAGGCTTCTGAGTTTTTCCCTGCTGGGGCCCACAGAAATTGCATTCTCCCTGGCAGCAAACCGCAGGGGCATATGCTAAGTGTCTCTGCCCAGGGAAGCCCATTTGAATTTGGGGGTCTGAGGTTTTTATGGAGGCCTGATCTCGTAGATACTTCCTGCTCTCTGACCAGCCATAGTAAGGGAAACACAGGACCCCAGCATTGAAACCAGGTGCATCATGAATCTTGCTAAACAGTCCTACAAGTCATGACAGGTTGCTCTGGCACGCCCCATCGCCCTGGGCATACACCACTCAGCAGCTGGGGACAGGAAGAATTTCGTGATGGTCCCATTCCCAAGGACTGGCTGGGAATTCAGTCATGGGTGCAGGTGACCCTGTCCTGCTGTGCTTTTTCCTTACAAAAATATTTTAAAATTGACTGTAGAGGGGGATGGGATGAGAACAGGTTAGCCCCACACAAATTTGTGGCATAGCTGGTTTTGCAAAGGAACCAGTCATTATATGGTCACGAGACTTGGTCTGCATTGACTTATTTGAAATGAAACTCAGAGAACCACTTTTCTAGCTCTGTGGTCGGACCAAGTCCTTGTTGGCATGCAGGGCTTTTCTGAACATTATAATGAATGTTACGGTTCATTCACTGAGGAGTGAGAATTTGCTCTTGCCGGTTCTGATCAACAGATAAACACTTAGTAGTTAATGTATTTTTTTCTTCTTTAGACCCAAGTGGAGAATGTAATCCTGATCTTAGACTAAGAGGTCACCAAAAGGAAGGCTATGGTCTTTCCTGGAATTCTAATTTGAGTGGACATCTCCTAAGTGCATCTGACGACCATGTGAGAAACCTATTCTTCCTCTCCTGCTCGTGTACCCAGAGTTAGAGAGAGCTCCGCCCTGAAGGAGCACTCTGCAGATGGAAAGTTTTCAAAGATATTACTGCTGGTGGTGGTGATAGCATCTACACAGCGTTTAGAGCAGTGCTTCTCAAACTGTCCTTTAGTGTGCCACAGGGCTCTTTCAAAGCAGCTTCGGGATGGAAGGAAAGTAGGCAAAGGGCCTCCCATTGTTGAACAGACACGATTAATGTGAATGACATTTTAGGTTTTTTTTTTTCCCCCCCCTCATTTTAGGTTATTTTTTATTTTAAGTGTATGATTCAGCAGGTGTTAATGTATTCACAAAGTTGTGCAGCTGTCACCAATTAGAAGATATTGTTGCCCAAAGTCCCAGAAAGAAACTCCATTCCCATCGAACAGACCCCCCAGTCCATCTTTCTCTGGCTCCTGGCAACCACTGGTTTACTTTTTCTCTCTATAGATTTGTCTGTTCTCGGTATTTTATATAAATGGGATCGTCCGGTGGGTGGCCTTCTGTCTGTCTCTCTCCCTTAGCTTCATCTGTTTTGAAGCGTGTCAGTGCTTCATTCCTTTATTATGATTGAGTAGGGTTCTCTTCTGGATTATTACAGTTTACTCACTTACTGGTGGACATTGGGGTGGTTTTCACTGTGGGGTTATTTCCAGTGGTCTTGCTACAGACATTCTGTACAAGTTTTGTGTAGATGTGTGTTTTCATTTCTCTTGGGCAGTTACTTAGGAATGGAATTACTAGGTCATATGGTGACTATGTTTAACTTTTTGGAGAGCTGCCAAATTGTTTTTCAAAACAGCTGTACCACTTTACATTGCCATCAGCAGTATACCAAGGTTCCAGTTTCTCTCCCTCTTCACCAACACTTGTTACTGTCTGTCTCTTATTATAGACTTCCTAGTGGGTGTGAAGTGCTGTCTGACTAGATTTGATTTTATATTTCCCTGATGACTCACGATGTTGAGCCTCTCTGCGTGTGTTTATTGACAATTCATATATCTTCTTTGGGAAGATATTTGTTTAGGTCCTTTGTCCATTAAAAATATTTTTAAATTTTGAGTTGTAAGAGTTCCTTATATAGTCTAAAGTACAAGCCCTCTATCTCAAATTTTTCTTCATTCTGTGGGTTGTCTTTCTCACTTTTTTTGAGGATGTCCTTGAAAGCACACAAACTTAGAATTTTGTGCTCAGTTTATGTATTTTTTATTGTCATTGCTGTGTGGTACCTATGAAATCGTCGTATAATCCAACAACACAGAGATTTACACTTATTTTCTTAAGATTTTATACTTTTAAGCTTTTACATGTAGGTCTTTGATCCATTTTGAGTTAATTTTTGTATATAGTGTGAGGTAGGGGTCCAGTATTTCTGTTGATAGCAATTTCTGTTAAGCATTTTGAAATACTGAAAGTAGACAATTGCCCCAGTCAGGCTGCTTTAGTTGTAAGCAACCTGAACTGACTGGCTCATTTAAATAGAAAAGGAGTTTATCAGAAGGTCATGGGTAGGGGAGCTCACAGAATTGCTCCGATGGATGGCACGTGGCCCGGAGAGGAGAGGCGAGGCCAGGTGGGACAGTGAGGACGTTTCTCTTAGTGTGCCTGGAACATCCTGCCCCATCCCAGATTCTCCCGTTCACGATTCAAAGCCCCGGTTGGACCGGAGCTGCCCTGCCACACAGACTGGGGAAGCCAGGATCCAGGATCTGCCTGGGTTCTCCAGGAAGCTCCCCTGCTTCCCTCGGGGTGGTCCTGGGAGAGGCTCTGTGCTCACAGGCTAGGTAATTCATTGCTAATGCCTTTTGAGGGCGCCAGGTGGGAATTGCTAGGCATCTTAGTAGCTGACTTTTCCCACGGGCTCGGTGAGTGGTGGGCTTGTTCCTAGTCTCCCACCTTCTCAGGTGAAGGGCGGGTGCTGGGGGGCGGCTGGTAGGAGCCCCAGCACACCTTCCTTTCTCTGCAGTGTGAATAATGTGTCTGAGTAACCAGAATGAGGACATGTGCGGTAGGGGAAATAATGGCTTTTATTGGGAACTAGCTCTGTTATGGACACCTCTTCACATGGGCCAGTGATTTAAATCGAGGTGAAACCCACACTATCAGTGCAATTAATCAAGGAAGCCTTAGTGGAATTAATTCTGTCTTAAACCGTCGGGCGAGGCTCATTGCCCTATAGCTTGTGTCACCTTTTCATAAATGCCGAAGGCTTTCCTCTTAACTTGTGATGGGCTGTCGAGAGAAGCCCGCGCTCATAGCCCTCCTGGGCTGCTCCTGGGACGCTGCTGACATTTCAAGGAACAAGTCATGGGGAGCTGTCTGCGGCCCCAAAGGAACCTAGTGGAGGTTTGTGTGTCATCTGCCCCACTACCCGATGCCATGAAGTGACACTTGTTCCAAGGCTTCTGTGTTCTGAGAGACGAAGTTTTGTTTTAGTTCCCATCTTCCCGGCCCAGTGTGAATCGCGAGGGTGTGCATGTGCTCAGTAGACTCCGAGTGCAGGATTCCAAGTGACTTGTTGGCTCGAGGAATTTGGGGTATTTTAGCAAATGCAGGTGGAAACACCAGCCTGCGTGTCCCTGCCTGCCACTGTGCTCTGCCCGCACCGCCACCCGCAGTTCCACCGCGGGGCATTTTCCTTGCCCCAGAGGTCACGGAGGAAGCTCTGTGCTCTTCCACTTGTGAAGCTTCGCTTTTGTTTATAGTGCCTCTCCCTCTATATTTGATTTTTGTGTAAATGGTTTTTTCACAGCAGTGTTTTAAATAAGATGCTCGTCTTTAGATGGAGTCTCTAAAGGGTGTTTGTTGATTTGTTTTTTTCTCCTTCAGACTGTCTGTCTGTGGGATATAAATGCAGGACCAAAGGAAGGCAAGATTGTGGATGCTAAAGCCATCTTTACTGGCCACTCGGCCGTCGTGGAGGACGTGGCCTGGCACCTGCTGCACGAGTCTCTCTTCGGATCTGTCGCGGATGATCAAAAGCTCATGATGTAAGGGGGCCCGCAGGCCCCGGTGGATGGCGTCCTCATGAGCAGCAGTGCTTGGGGCTGGTGCGGGGGTTGCTGTTTTAGTTAGGCCCTGGCTTTGAAAGGAAAGAAAAGAACGGCCTTAGGGAGGTATAAGTGACACACGGCCTGCGTGTATGGGAGGCCTTTTTCCAGAGGGTTTACTGTGCTGCGTGGACACAAGTTTCTCTTTTTTTAAGAAGAAAGAAAGCAGGTAGGAACGTGAAGAAACATGCTAGGCGGCGGAGAAGATCAAAACTAGGGTCAGAGGGGACAGTAGTTCCATCACTGTGGCCACGCAACCTGTAATGCTTTCAGCTCAAAAACAAATACCTGAGGTAACTATTGCAAAATACTGAACTCAGATAGGCTAGGTTGAAGGTCTCGAATTGTTAAATCATTCTCAGCATCTCTGTATTTTGTGTGTGCCTGAAGTAATGGTAACTAGGGCAGAAATCTACCAAGTGACAAGGCAGAAACTGTGGCCCCAGTTGGTTGTTCGTAGGCTTAGGCCGCATCGCTGAGCGCTTGGGAGTCTGAGCTGCCTCCTCTGTGCGTGGTTTGGCGTCTTCAGGGTGGGCAGTCTGAGTGGGACTGGTGTGAGCTGGGGGCCGCCTCTGTGCGGTGCACCTTGTGCCTTTGTGTTGCAGATGGGACACCAGGTCCAACACCACCTCCAAGCCGAGTCACCTGGTGGATGCGCACACCGCTGAGGTCAACTGCCTGTCGTTCAACCCCTACAGCGAGTTCATTCTCGCCACTGGCTCTGCAGATAAGGTCTCTCAGTTTTGGTGTATTTCGTGTTCACAAGCCCAGTTGTCCTGCACTGTAATGAGATACTTCAAAATTCCCAGGTCAAATGCAGAAATGAATTCCTTTTCACTTGTGGTTTCCTTTAGACTGTAGCTCTTTGGGATCTGCGTAACTTAAAGCTCAAGCTCCATACCTTCGAATCTCATAAAGACGAGATTTTCCAGGTACGTGATGGTCGTCTGGTGTCTGTCAGGTTTTAGTGACTTCTCGGTGGGAGGGAAAATTTTGTATATCTGGCAGGTGTGGGACCTTAGTTTTTAAGCTCCTCTTCTGCTAAAATTAACTGGTGGAAAATAAATAGGAGCTTTTTGAGAGGCTGTTAGTTCCGAGGTAGAAGAAAAAACCTCACAGAACAGCATCAGTTTTAAAAGTGAGACCCAAGGACTCCTGGGCTGCGGAGTGCCAGGGCGCGGGTCCTGCAGCGAAGGCTGCCCTGTGGTGGGGAGATTTGCATTGGTCGAGTCGCACTTCACTGGGACCCTTAAACTCCTCGGGGATGGTTACGGGGCTGAAAACATTTTTTGGGACCCTAGCAGAGTTTGAGTGACCTTCCTGGGGACAGACTGGGGACGTGTGGACCATTGAGCGGGTAGGACAAGGAGAAGATAGAGAACATGACATGGGAAAACGTCAAGGACTAGCATGATATCCGCAAACCCTGAATGCGTGTTTCGTTAAACCTTTAAAATATGTCTCGCTAGGTCCACTGGTCTCCACATAATGAAACCATTCTGGCTTCAAGTGGTACTGATCGCCGCCTCAATGTGTGGGATTTAAGGTAACAGAATTTGGTGACAAGAAACTGCATAAATAATGAAGTAACTTTTGAAGTGCATCCTGAAGAGTCTTCAGTCTGTAAAGTAGAAGTGAATCAGCCAGTAGGCTAAAGTGATGCTGCATGTTTTTTCTTTTGATATTCGGGCATGAAGGGGGTGGGGGGGTGTGTGTGTGCACTTTCTGGGCTTATACGGGTGTTACGTACTTCGTGCTACCAGAATTTCAATCATGAAAGCATTATGTTCTTTAATAGCAAAATTGGAGAAGAGCAATCGGCAGAGGACGCGGAAGATGGGCCTCCAGAACTCCTGGTATGTATAGCGTTGGCTCTTACACAAGATGAACTGTCACGTGCACTCTGGCCTGTGTGTCACTGACTTATCTGGAGAAATGAGTCAGAACTTCAAGTTGTAGCTCTCTCTCTTCTTAAAGATTTGTTTTTACTTATATAAAAATATTTTTATATGTAGGCCAGAGGTACGAGCGGGGGTGGGGGTGTGTGAGAGGATTCACCAGAGACAGAGCGGGGAACAGAACAGGCAGATGGAGTGAAATACACTGCTGAGGGGAGCAGCGGGGAGACTGGAGAGGTCTGCACCCTGTGGGTAGCTCCCTGGCCAGGGATCAAACTCAGGCTGCAGTGGCTGCCGATAGGTTGATAGCGCTGAGACTTCAACCCCGGCGCCACCAGGGAGGCCCCTCATATTGTAGCTCCGAAAAGATAATTTCAAGTGGAAGGTCCTGGTTCTCGTGATTGGGTTCCGACATTTAATAAAAACAGTAAAATGGAGCCCAGTAGGTGTTTATGACTGTTTTGCTGAGATTCATTTACGCTCTTGGAAAACGGTGTCGTTACTTCTCCGTGACGTCAATTGTGAGCACATTTCTCAGGGCAGGTATTGGCGCGTTCGGGTAGCAGCACTTCACGCTTTCTGACAGTCTGAGAAAAAATTGGCCTTATTTTTGAAAAGATCCTGGCCCAGAACATGGACGCGTCCTCCGTTTTATCTTGTTGGTGCCTCTTGAAGGCCGACGAGGGGTCTGTCCCCATCCTCGCTGGCTCTCCGTCCTCCAGCGTAGCCTTCGGGTCTCTTTCCCGCGGAGCGCGGCCGGGCTGAAGCAGTGGTTCTTTGTCTTTGTTCCGAATGTGGTGCTTGTCTCCACCAGCCATCGGGCAGATAATCACTCGGCGCCTGTAATGTATATTTAGCTCTGAGGCCGGTGCTGGTTGTCTGGGCCCTTGTGCCTGCCCGCCCCCTTCAAAAGGGGAGGCCGGCCCTTGAGATGGAGCCTGCACGGAAGGTCCTTGCCGAGGCCCTTATTGTCCGAAAAGCCGGGACCCCTTTGGTCCCTGTCGGGTCTGCTCCTGGGCCCAGCGCCCCCAGGCAGCAGGCAGCGCGGGCTGCGCCGGCCTCTCCAGTGTACGCACCCCTGCCGCTGGATCTCGGTTAGCTGCTGCCCGGGCCAGGTCACGGCGTGGCTTATTCTGTACTGGCTGACTTAATTTGAAAACTCTGCTTCACGATGCAGGGCTTCATGGTTTTTAAATATTTGTTGGCTAAGGTACTGCTACCAGCTGTTCCCTCGCCCCTGCCCCCCAGCTATTTTTACTTATTTCTTTTTAACTTTGGGTAACACCTTTATTGAAATGTAATTCACTCACCATACAAGGCACATGTTTAAAGTGTACCATTCAGTGGTTTTTAGTCTCTTCACAGTTGTACAGCCATCACCATAAATTCCTTCTAGGACATTCATGTCCCCGCACACAGAAACTTCAAACCCTGTGGCCATCACACCCCCATCGCCTTTCCCCTGGCAACCACTCATTTTCTTTTTTCTCTTGAGATTTGCCAGTTCTGGACATTCCATACAAGTGGAGTCATGCAATCTGTGGTCTTTTGTACTGACTCTTGCAGTTGGCATAATGGTTTCAAGGTTTCCAGCTATTTTTTGATACTCAGGGAGAGGCGAGCGTATCTTTTTTTTTTTTTTTTAAGATTTATTTTTCATTTATACATGGCTGGGGTACAGGCCAAAGGCGCTGGAGGTGAAAGGATTCACCAGAGACAGAGCAGGGAGCAGAACAGGCAGGCAGACCGAAAGCACTGCTGAGGGGAGCAGCGGGGGAGACAGGAGAGGTCTGTTGTGCCACGTGGGAATCTCCCGGCCGGCCGGGAATCGAACCCACGCCGCAGAAGCTGTGGACAGCTTCACAGTGCTGTGCTCAACCTGCCGTGCCACCTTGGAGGCCCACGAGTGTATCATTTTGTACATTATGCTCTGCAACAATTTCATGATCCCTGAGAAAATCCACTAGGGTTTTCTTTTTCCATGAGAGCCTGAAGTCAAGAGATTTAGTGAAGTAAAGGTTTAAGTATAGCAAGTGGATACTAACTCATTTTAATGTGAGCGTTAATGGAGAAACCTGTCTATTGCAGGCCAGTGGTGGTAGACCATTTTGAAAAGCTCTCTATCCCATCTCATATTTTTACACTGATAAAATTAAGTAAACTGGTTACATTGTCTATAACCTGATAGACCTTATCGTCAAACTCAAGTCACTTTGTCAGGAAGTATGACTTCACAGTGGAGAACAATGTTCACGTTGTCCTTGTGAGAACTGTTCTCCTGCATCTTACTCAGTGATAAGAAGATGCAGTCTTTCCCATGAGGTGGTTTCACAAAAAAATAACATTCTGCCTCTTCAGCATCTCCTGCCCTTAATAAGGGGCTTCTGGGAGCCATGCTTTTGGATTCCTGGGGGCCCCCTCACCCCACGTTGGGGCAGTGTGCCTTGTAAGGTGCAGGAAGATTGAGAGGCAGACCTTTCAGTCACGGGAAGCTGTGGAAGGGGGGCCGCTGAAGAGCCAAGAGGCTCCTCAGTAGACCACTTCGGAAAGAGTATACAAAATGGGACATTCTGGAAATGTGTCACCTTGAGTATCTACTGGACTGTTAGGTAGTGAGGTGGAGTCCCTGTTCATGGCGTTGGGTGGGGAGACGGCGGTGTGCTCGTGGGGGTGTCTCCTTCAGGGACACAGGCGGAAGCCTGCGTGGGCATGGTGTCTCAGCTGCAGCTTTGGCGGCTCGACAAAAGAGAGAACAGGCATTCTATTGGCATTTGGGGGCCCTAACCAAGAGGCTATGGCCATCCCTCCGTCACCCTGTTTTTGAAGGCCTGGGAAGTCACACACAACTAGCCGGGGAGCAGATTCCTGAGCCTATACCGCCCTCTCCAAACTGCAGGGCCGCAATCCCTAGTTGCAAGACTGTTTCTCTTTTTTTTTTCTTTTCTTTTTTTTTTTTTTTTTTAATAGAGGCATGTTTTATTTATTTATTTATTTGTTCGTTTGTTTGGTTTTGTTTATACATGCACTGGGTACAGTCAGAAGCACGGGAGGGTGAGAGAATTCACCAGAGCCAGAGCGGGGAGCAGAGCAGGCAGAAGGACCGAGGTACACTGCTGAGGGGAGCAGCGGGCGGCAGGAGAGGTCTGCGCGCCATGTGGGACCCTCCTCCGGTGGCCGGGGAGCAGCCGGGGATCGAACCGGCGCCGCAGAGGCCGCGGGCAGCTTCGCAACCCAGCGCTCAACCACTGCGCTACTGGGGAGGCCCTGCAAGACTGTTTCTCTGAAAACTAACTTGACAGGAGAGAAACCAAGATGGCTTTTTTGTTCTTATTAACAGTTTATTCATGGAGGACACACTGCCAAGATATCTGATTTCAGCTGGAACCCCAATGAGCCGTGGGTCATTTGCTCGGTGTCTGAGGACAACATCATGCAGATCTGGCAAATGGTGAGTGCCACTGGCTGCTTCTCCCTCACGGTCATCTCGTAAAGGGGCTTTGCTGACGGCATGCTGTAGGACACCTCAGCTCTTTAGGTGCGCGATTATCCCCCACGTTTCTAGGAAGGAAACAGTCAGATGGCCTTTTCCACTTCAGGTGAACAGCACCTGTTGGGGCCGAACTCCTGTGTCTGTGAACACACAGATGGAGGCTTGGTATCTGCGCCCATGTTCGCAGTCAGTCACCAGCTGGGCCCTGGGCACCACTGGGGTCGCGGGGGTGGAGGCTACCAGATCCATGAGCGCCTGCGCCCCCTGCCGCCTTGGATGAGGCCCTGAGTTCATCACCCCTTCGGTAGGCTTCTGAGAGATGCCTGAGATACTTTGGAAAATGCCTTCTGTGAGCAATGATTTAAGAAACAGCGCCCCGGGCAGCTAGGGGTACCTACACAGAACGCTAACCTAGACACTGACAAAGTCTTTGCGAACTCTGGCCTGCCTTTTCCTATTCGGTTTATTCGTGTCCTTTCGGGGAAAACCACAGAGGAAATTACCAAATTACTCTAAAATGTGGCCACACTTAGTTTTCAAGATTGAAACTGCTTGACCAGTGAATCCTAAGATCTGGATAATTATTAAATAGCATTTTTAGATAACCTTGTAAAAACCCCCGGCGGGAGTTTTACCTGTGCATTTATTTGGTTGTCATCTCCAGGCTGAAAATATATACAATGACGAAGAGTCAGATGTCACCCCGTCGGAACTGGAGGGGCAAGGATCTTAAACCCAAAGTGAAAGAAGTGTTTCTATTGAATGTAATGCTCCGTGAATGCTTGGTTTATCAAGCGCCAAAAAGGCATTGTATAGTAGGAAATCTAAGTGGGATGGCATATGGCGTTCTTTACTTCTGATTCTAGCACTTTCCAGTGAGCTGTTGCGTACTGTATCATATTGTAGCTTTTAGGGAAGACAGGAATGTTGCTTAAGAAAGAACATCACAGTTATTGTTTTAAAATACAAGTTAGCAGGGTACTGCTTTTGATTCAACTATTTTAAGTCGTTGTTTTCTCAAACTAAGTGCTTGCTGTTCCCAGATATGCAAGAGTTAACTTTTACACTTTTTCCCTCCAACACTTCTTGATTGGCTTTGCAGAAATAAAGTTTTAAAATAAATTTTGTTTTATTCTTCTAGAACCTGGGTAGGGAGGGGTATGTCCGTCTGGCCATGTGTCCATTTCTTGAGTGGAAATGGGGACAGTTTTACTTTATCCCCCGTTTATTGGACTCATTTTTATAAGTGAGGCGGCCATTGTGCATCTTGGTTGAGGACTTGCTTTCTTTCCAGGATACGTGACCGTCTCCTGCTCGAAACCTGAGTTAGGGGTCTGTACTTTGTGTTTTGTGATACACACCCCTAGACCTACCTTAACTCCTATCACTTAACCCGTATCCTGTTTGCAAGTTACCTCGGGCAGCTTTAAACACTGGCTCTTTCTCCGAAAGCGTGAACGGTTTTCACTTACACGGCACAGGTCAGCGGGCAGGCCTGCTGTACCGGACGGAAAGGCCGGCCCCGCATGCTCGGTCCCAGGCGCATCAGTACTTCGTGCTCCTCGTCCAGTGGGTGCCAGTGCGAGTCTGTAGGTGCGCCCTGCTGAGTGCTGCGAACAGCCCTGGCTGGAGACATCCATAGTCCTTGTAGTTTCTTAGCGCTTTGGCGGCAGCTGCAGTTAGAATGTAGAGTTTTTTCTAGAGTTCTCTGTTTTAAAGGTTCAGGAAAAGGTACTATACGAGTCTGGCAGCAGGGAAGAGATCAGCCGCCCAGTGCAAGGGTGCCCGGGCCGCCCCTTACTCACAGTGCCTGAGAACGAATACTTTTTCAGACCCAAGAAACCCAGGGAACTACAACTGCTGTCGACCTTGATTGACTTGCTTGATAATACAATTACGGTCACATAACAAAATCCACAGAAGCTGTTAAGTTTATCATACATATTTACTTCATCTATACAGAATCGAGTAGATAAAATCAGATTCACATTAGTGAAAAATCTCTACAAAATGTCTTTGAAAAGCAAAACAAGACTGCCTCTTAACAATTCGTATCCTCATGAAAGACGTGGGCTGTAAAAATAAAGCAGTGTGTTTAGCACAAACTAGAAGATATCTGCATCATTTTTTTCACAGTTATTTCCTTCTACAGTCTGAAAGAGGTAGATTTTTTTCTGCAACACCTGAGAGTTGAATCGTGACAGCCAGGTGTGATAAAGGCAGTTGCATACAGAACTGAAAAGACTGGTCTCAAGACCAAGAAGTGTACTCCTACAACTCTGGGGATGAACTGGTCCGTTACCCAAGACCCAGGTTTTCTTGCCTCCTGGGGATCTACTGCCACTCTAAATACACCAAGAGTACGTGATGGCGCGACAGATGCAATGTAAGTGAAGTGGACATTTGAACCTTTTCGGGGTCAGCCTAGTCGCGTTACAGTGTTCTAGAATATGGTAGATAACAGGGCGTGCTACAAAGCCACGACACGGGGCTGGTGAGGTGGTAGCTGTACGAGGGCCTCCTCGAGGGTCCCATGTGTGTTTATTCACAGGGTAATGGGTGGGGAGATTCTGAAAGGACACCAAACGCATCCCACGCAGAATCCATATCCTTGAAACACATGACAGCATCTAGCTAAAAATACACAGTAAGCCAAAAGCAGCAGGCCAAGGACTGAGTCACATGGCTTTAAGAAAGCCCTTGAAAATACGCAACAGGCCCGAGGTTTACAATCCTCCGCACAGGACAAGCACCACAAAGAAACGCGGGCTACGCGGTGGCTGAAGGGCGCTCTGTCCCGAGCTAGACAGCCGGCAGAGCCGTGGCGAGATGGGGTCGGTGGTCCTCCTCGGAAAGGAGATTATCATTTGATAGATACCTTCATTTCCTCCGGGGGAAATGAGGCCAATATTTCATTCGGTAGCCGAAGGGGGTATTTCTAAGAGGTTACTGGAGGGGGCGGGGGTGTTTGTTTCTGCTTCTGACTCATTGTGACAGGAGTAATGAATCAGATAACCTCCTTGGTGGGTTTGTTTTCCTCCACCATCTGGCCTTTGGTTAATAGGCCCGGCGGTGGACGCGTGGTAGAATCCGCCACTCCAGGTGCTGTTTCCTAGCTACTGCACAATTTTCAATCCTTTCAACCCAGTTTAGTGTGTGTCAGGACGGAGAAACCCTGTTGTTCGGCTGGCGGAGTGGAATTTAGTCAGTCCGGTAAGCAATGTAAGAGGGGTCTGTGGGATAGTTCGGCTTGGTGGAATGTGCTATCGGCGGTTCCGGGAGAACCTACTTCTCCTCATGAAGTATGCCAATGCAAGTTCTGTCGGGGGCAAAGTCAAACTCGCTATCCCTGCAGCCTCCTCAGTCATTTCACTTGGCCATACTCGATGCTGGAAGGAGCAAAGGAAATCCAGGTGAACTACTCCCAGCGGTGTGCTTGCTTCTGAAAGCGCCCCACTTGCGAGTGCACAGACCTTGGTAATACTGGGGTTTTTTTCTTTAGTAAAACAAGTGACGGGAAGGAAAGGGTGAGAGACAGGCGGACGGCCTAAGTAAGAGATTCTGACTGAACACCCTGCCGCGTTTCCCCAGAGTCAAAGCCGCTGGTTCCGGTCGCATGTGGGAAACGAGAGCCGCTGCGGCGGGCCCGCGCTGTAACCAGACTCCCTTCTCACACACCTGGAGAATTTGGCTGCTGGGACTGGACAGGTGGACACTGACGAGGGCGCTACAAGGTAGCGGAGGGACTCCGGCCTCGGGAGAGCAATGCGGGCACCTGCCCTCCTCTGAGAGGGGACCAGCGTGACTGCTGTGTGGGGAGGAGAGAAAGTGTCCCCGAACCCAAGCGGGAGGCGGGCGGGCGGGCGGCAGGTGGCCCGGGCTCGCCAGTGGCTCTGCCGCCCCGAGAGCAGAGCGGCGCGGCCGTGCGCACGAGCCTTCTGCCTGCGCCCGGTGGCCTGCCCGGCTGCTCCCCGGGGACAGCTTCCTGCGCGCAGCCTGCCAGAGCTCGTAGGAATTCAAGGCTTGTGGCCATGTCAACTTGTCGAGTGCGTAAATACCGGAGACCGGATTGGAATTGAATATGCTATGCTTGTTTCTGACCCAACACAAGAGTTTTATTTTCACTCGGCATTTAAATGGTCTAGTAGACAAAACTAATCATGTTGATTTTATTTTTGAGTAGTATTAATGGGGGGCCAGGACGCTGAAGTGAATATTTTCACATCAAGGGACCATTATCAGAACAAAGTTCCTTTGTAATGGCCGGTCCTGTCTTGAGTGAAATTTTAATTAGGATAATTCTAGGCAAGGCGCAGGGGAGGAAGGACAAGCCATGACCACATGCATTCCAATGAGGGGACCCGAGGCAGATGTGCAACACAGCTGAGGAGGACGCAGAGTAAAACTATCCGCACGGCTAAGCAGCCTCCTGTACCACAGAAGTCCAGTAGTTCTAAGAAAATACAGATATGGTAGAAAAAGTAAGAAAATCTTCACCACAAAACCAATAGTTAACTACTAACAGAGAAAGTTATACACAAAATAGAGCTCTCCACACAGCAATCACGCTTGATCTCAGTCAACTGACTCGATGCCAGTGCCCACACCCGTGGACCCAGCTTGGGGCGCGGCCTCGGGGGGGCACGGGGTGCTGGCCACAGGGGAAGCAGGGTTCGGCTGGGCGGGGGAGCCTGGGGCGGCGCAGGGCCGTGGCACCCCCCGCCCGGAGCCCTGCTCCTTCAGGACCTCCACCTTCTCGTTGAGCTCGTTTCTTTCTGTTTGAAGAGCCCTGCACAGCTTCTCTAACCGTTCCAGTTTGATTTGAAAGGCCTTGTATTCTTTATCTCGGACAGTTTTCTGTGAGGGGACAAAAAGGGGGGAATTTATACACCCTCCGTGAACAGGAGTCAGGTCCGTGCGCACAGGAACCCGAGCCGCCCCAGAACTATGCGCTCGCCCCCGAGTGGCCACGTCCCGTGGCTTGAGACGCCCAGCCGCCACCCGCCGCGCGCACCGTGGCCCCCGAGAGGCATGTAATGCGTTTCTGTTCTAGGCTGGCAAAATGTAACTCCCTGTTGGGCTTTAAAAAAAACCCACCACCAAAACCTACCTTTTAAAATGTCTCTGTTGATGGAATAGTAAGAAAACTTAAGAAACTCGTCACTAAACCTAGCAGGTGCAAGAGCGAACGGCCTACTGAAAAACGAACTCGTCTCTACAGATACTGCTTCCACTTTGTGGACGGGAACAACATTCAAGCGGTGACATTTAGATCGCAGAGAATCGCTCGGCTGCGAGGCTGGCCAAGTGCCGACGCTGCCGCCTTCCTGGGGACCGGAGGAGGCAGAGGGGCCTCCTTGGCCTGTGTGCGCAGGAACCTGCCCGGTGCTGCTCCAGGTGGCGGCGCGGCGTGTGAGCCCACCCCGGGCCTGGCGGGCCTGGCCGTCCGGGGCGGAGCTGGCCGCCAGCTCAGGTTTGGGAAACCACTGCTGGGCGAGCAAAACCTAGATGCTCTCCAGTGCCCCCACACCGGCCTGGGCCAAGCAGCTGGCGGGGACGAAGCGGAGCCCCTGCTTGTAGCCTTTTTCCCACCACCGGGGAGACACCCCAGGTTCTGCTTATCTGTCGCCCCAGCTCCAGCCAGAGTCCTCAGCAAGGACGGACAGGAGTCCCACGGCCCGCCCCCTACCCGGTGAGGTGCCTGAGCTGCCCGCGCCCCACCTTGGCTGTGGGAAACCACCTCACCTCTTCAGCCATCTGCAGAAGCGCTTTGTTGTTGTTTTCCCACTTGGTGCGCCATATTAGCGTTTCTTTCTCCAGCTTTTTAATTTTCTTTGTCATCTGTGATTCAACACAATCGCAAATGTAAATTTGAAGTTTGATCTCTTATCTCCACCCCTGGTTCCCCCCCCAATCTTAGAACGCTCCCCCTTCCCCCCACTAGCAGGTCCTGCCTTATGGGCTCCCTGCGGCAGGAGCCAGAGGGGAGTCAGAGAGCGACCAGACGGCCCCCCAGCCGGGCAGACCGTGTTAGTGAGTTTTCTGTCCATTAAGCTACTTCACCGGATGATGGAAGGGTAGGGGCCTCCAGCACCCCAAAGATTAAGACTCAGTGCTCGCCAACACTGTATCCCCTGTGACCTGGAGGACCAGGGGAGAGGTAAGGTAGTCCGTCCTAGTCCCTGCCCCTAACCCTCCCCCTCACGACTTGTTTCAGAATTTGCTAAGGATAAAATGGTTCCAAAATTAAGGGGCACCTTCTTAAACCTACGCTCCAAGGACTCAGCTTGTGGAAGTTTCAAAGGAGGCTTCTCTGCTGCCAGGAGTCCCGAGTTGAGCACTCCCCACGCCCGCCCGCCCGCCCGCCCGCGCCGCAGCGCCATCCGGCGGGGCTGGCCGGGGTTGGCTGAGCCTAGCGGCCTGTGCGCCCCGCCCGCAGGATAAAGCCTGGAGGATGAGCTCGGGAAGTGCCCTGCTAGCCTGGACAGTGTCACTAGCCTCGAGCAGGGGACGCTTCTCCACAAGGATAGCGCCCGGCAGTGCTGTTGCTGCCTCAACAGCACCTCTGCCCAGCTGAGGCCTCCACGGGGACCCCGGAGGCCGCTGTCTTGGTGAAAGGGGGGAGGAGTGCAGAATGACTCTGCTGCTCCCTGAATTCTCCAGATTATTGGGTCTAAAAATACCTGCTGGTAGTCACTGGAGCACTGAACATGGCTATGTCTGAAATACTCCAGGAAGGTTATTTGTTGAGGAGGATGAAACGAAGGTTAAGCACCTTGTCTACAGTCCTTTTATCTGAGGCAAGCGGGACGTGAACCCAGAACACGTGCCCCCAACTACTGCATAAGGTCTAGCGACAGGCAGGGCTCCGCCCCGGGACAAAGGCCAGGCGCCCCTCCCCGGCCCGCGACATTCTTTGACAGCCCCTGGTTTAAGGGGAACGCGTGACCTAGAGTAAGGCCAGATGCATATGTGTATATTCTGGTTCTCGGCTTGACAGCAAGGTCTTCCCTGAAGGTGACGGGGGAAAGAGAAGCGGGCCAGAGCCCTGGCTGGTGCGAGTCCGTGGGAGCACAGTTAAAACACTAGGAAAGCAGAAACACCGATATCAACGTGTCCATCTCTACCCCTCCACGTGAGCATGTGAGGGCCTGGGCTTGGGTGTCTAAATGATTTGCTGTCGAGCACACAGCTCTTGGGGGGCGGGGGGGGGGGCACCTGAGGTACTTAAAAACAAAAGACAAGAAACAAAAATGAAAGCACTTTATTTCTTGCAAGTCATATTTAGTAGAGGAATTCACTTCAATGATAGCATCTTAGCAGCGCAGAGACCATTCCCTCCGTGGGGGTCGGGGGAGGGCAAAATACCCAAACATCGCACGAGGCTCAGAAAGGATGGAATGGAGGAGGCACCCTAACCTCCTGAGCTCGTCCAAGGAGTGGCTGTGCTTAAAGCAGCCTCTGTCCACTCCCTCTTAGAGAAGAGGCTACTAAAAATAGGCCAATACCTTTTCCATTTCCTGGCGGAAGGTGGTAAACAGTTCGTTGCTCTTTGCCATGGTTGTCTGGAATTCTTCAAACTTGTCCATATAAAGAGAAAGCTACCGGGAAAAGATACGAAAAGTTCTGAGTTTCAGGTAAACTATTTCCAAACCCAGTGACTTTCAGAAAGAACACAGCGGCGCTACGCATAAGTCACTTGTTACAAGTGACAGAAATGGGACCGAGCACGCCCTGCCGGGGACAGAGACGCGCACGCTGGAACCTGAGCGCCTTCCCTAGTGCTGTTCCACCCATCGTGAATAGTGCAAGGTGTGCTACAGCTACAACTTCAACAAAGCTGCAAGCGTTTCATGAGTTACCCCCTCACAGATCTGAAAAACTGCTCTTGGGAAAGGATCGTTCTCAGAACACCGCCAGTGCGTGTCTTAGCTTGGCACTGAGGACATCTCTTCACGAAGGCAGGAAAATGAAACAAGCCAATGAATGCCTTGATCATGCTGGGGGGGGGGGGCAGAACTCAGAATAGTGTTGAGTGCTGAAAGCTAGAAGAGGTAGAAATACCACTTTTTCTTTCAACTCCTCAAGGGATTGTTTTTCTAGCTGGGAAAACAACAAGCCAAGCGGAATGGAGAAAGGTGGAGTCCACCCTTTTCACCCCCGAGACAGGTGTTCAGAAGCAGGGGGCAGGACGTAGTGGGGGCCACAATCATTTGGGAGTTTCTTGTGGGTAGCTCAATTTCGCTTGGACCAGGAGGGAACTCTTGAGAGCCGTCTGGAGTAATGGCATATTGTTGGGCTGAGGAAACAGGCCAGAGGGAAGCTCTCACAGTATGTGTGAGGCAAGCAGGAAAGGCATGGAAGCTCATCAGAGACCAAGAAATAGTACGAGGAATGCCTTTCCACCTTCAGCACTGCTGTGGTAGTGCCCCCGGGGCAGGAGAGGGGTGACCAGCCCAAGCACGTTGTCAGGTGAGACCAGCAGCCCTTGGAAGCACGCGCTGACTGGGAGAAACAGACCAAAGGCAAGGCCAGGGAGCCCCGCCCCGCCCCAGAGGCTGGCACCGGTAGGGTGAGGGGAAATGAAATGGGCCAAGCAGAGGGTTCATGACCTGCCTGTAGAGGGCGGCGGTAACTGCCTGGGAAGCTGCAGGCCCTGAGTGGGGAACAAACTTTTAAAATGCAGTTTTTCTCAACAGACTGTAATCTCAGTTGACTGAAAAAGGGTGAGTTATAAGTAGAAGCACTTCATTTCACCTGTCTGTAAAGACCAGGGGAGTTTTTTCTCTACATTTTCCTTGAGGGGGGAATGGCATCTGCTAACCCCACTTGCACCCAAAACACAGGCTGCGGTGGGAGAGACCGCAGGGGTTTGGATGGAAAAGCAGGGAGATGATACGCAAAAGCCCAGGCCCAGAGGACTTCATAGCTGAAGTGAAGAATTTACAACAGGGCTTCCCTGGTGGCCCAAGGGCTTAAGTCTCAGCACTATCAAGCTGTCTGCAGCCTCCCTGGCCAGGGAGCTACTACCACATGGCGCAGCAGACCTCTCCTGGCTCGCCCGCTGCTCCCCTCAGCAGAGTGTCTCAGTAGATCTACCTGTTCTGCTCCCTTCTCTGTCTCTGGTGAATCCTCTCACCTCCCGCACCCCCTCCCCCCCACACCTCTGGCCTACACCCCAGTTCTTCTCTGCAAAAAATAAATTTAAAAAATAAGTTATGTATTCATACTGCAAATTTCTAAAGATTTTAGGCTAAGTTCTATGCAACTGCCATTTTTTAAAAAAAATATATCCTCTTTTATTTATTTTTTTTTAAAGATTTATTTATTTATACAAGCACTGGGTAGTCAGAAGCGCGGGAGGGTGAGAGAATTCACCAGAGCCAGAGCAGGGAGCAGAACAGGCAGACTGAGAAAATACACTGCTGAGGGGAGCAGCGGGCGGCAGGAGAGGTCTGCATGCCATGTGGGACCCTCGCCGGCAGCCGGGGATCGAACCGGTGCTGCAGAGGCTGCGGGCAGCTTCACAGCGCGGCACTCAAATGCTTGCGCCACCAGGGGAGGCCCGCAACTGCCATTTTGATTTTATAGGTCAAAAAAGTCAAGCAGTAACTCCATATGGTTAAATTTAATACAAAAGAATGAAAATCTGAGGATTTATCAGTTTTCTTTGGCTGGAAATGAGCTGACACATGTGGGAACAGATCGAGAAGGGAGGAGATACCTGGGTGGTGTTAAGAGGCCACTGCAGAGAGCGGGACTAAGGACCCCAGTTTGCCTGAGACCTCATCAGACCCACTTTGTTTCCTGGGACACAGGAGTTTGCGTGGAAAGCAGGAAAGTCTTAGGAGAAATAGGATGTGCTAGTGACCCTAATGAAGAGGAAAATCCCAAGCGGGACACGTGATCTGGCTGTAGCTGGGCACACACAAAAGCACCTTAAAGGAGATTCCAGGTAGGTATGAAACGAAGCAGATTCTTCTTACCGAGCCTGCTATCCCCTACAGTCAAGTTACCTGCTGCTTTAGTTGTACTTCCTGCTGTTTCATTTGTTCGTATTTGTGCCTCGATTCTGTTGCTTCTTTTAATAACTAGAAAACAGAAACATTCTGGCAAAACACTAATAGTAATTACAAATACGAGCGCGTCAAGTGGCGAGATGGTTAGGCCTCGCCCTCCCGCCCTCCGTTTCATCCAGAAGCGTGTCCAGCGATGACACGTTCCGTTGAATCAATGGCCGATTCCCTGCGTCTTCATCTCCTACGTGTTGCCACGGGCAATGCACTAGTGTTCTTCTCCCACTCGGGGCAAGTGCCGGGAGGCCTACTGGGAGGCTCACAAAACTCAGGGTTAAATTGTTGTAAGTGAAAATAATTAGAACTTTAAGAACGTTGACATCATCTGGGTGCTTCAGAAAGCCCCTCTACTCAGCGAGAGGCAAAATGAGGCCGGGTGGAAGGGCAATGAGCAAAGCAATGAGATCAGAGGCCTGGTTGGGTTTAAAAAGTGAGGGAGAAGGGATGGAAGTTTTCACGTACATACTCGGGTTTTTAAAGAAATTATAAAGAAGCTGCCCCGTAGGCAGCTATGGAATTCAGTCCCTGGAATGAAAAGGTGACGTACAGTTCAAATAAACGCTGAGACGTGCAACCAGAAAGGACAGATGAGTATGTGAGCACGTGCGTGTATGCACGAAACTGAGACTCCAGCTGTGGAAACGACAACTCCGTCTTCAGCTGACCGTGGGGCACCGCTGCGGCGGACGCCGCGGGACCAGCCTCTGAAAGCTGCCGTCTCTCTTAACCCCCGCCCAGTGTGACCTGTTCGTGTCACGGAGGACCACGCCGGGCCCGAGTCCTCCTACCAGGATTGCCCCGGGGCCTAGGTTACCTGCGTCATGCTGGATGAACAGTCCTCATTATTATAAAATGTTTAATTTTATTATTTTTCGGTCAAACACATACTATGCATATGTTAGATATCCATGCCCAATGAGAACCCACTGTGGTCACAATTACTGACACGCAGGAGACTCTGAGCATACTCCGGGGAACAATGCTGACTGATGAGGGGGTACAGAACCCTGTTAAAACCTCATCAAGAAAAGATGCCAGATCCGTAAAATAGTTGCCCCCGTTTCAAGTTACTTGTTTGAAAAGGAAATGTCACAGTATAGAGGAGACCCATGTTTGCAAGCTTGATATTGAAATGACTTTGCCAAATCTAATGTGCTCAATACTGGTACAGTGCCTGCACCTCGTGACCACTACTACCTAAAAGTGCAGAAAGAACTCTGAGCACAGAAGCCGAGTGAGGGAGGTCTTCCTGGGAACTTGGTCTCGCCAGTGTATCTTCTGCATATACATCACACAGCAAGAACAAGCTAAGTGCGTTCTCGCACCTTCTCAATTCAGAGCAACGACACACAATTAGCATGACCCGGGTGCACTTTAAATGTAGAATAAGTTTAAATGATTTAAATGCTTTCTTACAATTTTGGCGATATCGTGAAGAAACAACTTACAAACTCTCTCTCTCTCTGATGCTTTTCATCGGCTTCTTTTATCAGCTGTGTCGTCTGCTGAAGCTTGGCATCCACAAGCTGCTGCTGCAGTTCCTTATGCTTGAACACTTTATCAATATGCTATGGGAAAAGTAAAATTTCTGCCATCACTGAATGAAAAAAATGGACCCCGATACCTTGCTCCCTCTGCGCTCCCTGCCAACAGCACCACAGCAATGATGGGCTCCCCCCCAGCACTGCCCCTCCTGCACCTCCCCTGTGCTCTCCTGCCCCCCACACCCCCCCGCCCCCATTCAGGACTCAGGAGCAGGGGGGCATCAAATGCCTTTCCAGCTGTAAGCATGTACTTCCTACTTCTGCCCTATGGGGAAAAGTCTCAAAAAATCATGGAAAAGGAGAGCAAACTGCAACCCAAACACACACAGCTCCTCATTCTCTTCTCCCCTTTAAACACTCGCGCCCTTCTCAGTGGGAGGCAGCAGGCTATGATGGGAATGGCCCCCCAGCTCCCTCACGGCAGTGGGGGGACAGCACACCTCCACCGCAGTAACATGAAAGCCAGGGCGGTGGCTACACTAAGTGCTTTGGTGCCTGGCACACGTGAGACATTTGATGAGAGATTGTTATTCCCGAATGCAATTGCTGAGTGGTTATTTACATATAATGAAATCACCACTCTTCCTTCCCAGATGCAGAAAGAGCGGACTTTTAGTTACAATACCTCATGTGAAAGGAAAAAAATGCTTGTTGGGAACAGGTAGCCTAAGTCGGAGGGCAACAGATGGCCTGAAGATAATTTAAGCACGATGGGGTCCTAACCAAAGGATATTTGATCATATTCACAATACATGGCTTACAAGTTATATGATCGAAACATCTTATTTTCAAATTTCCTACATGAGTGGTAAGGCAGACTCGCTAAACAACAAAACTAAGCTAATTTTAAGAAAACTGAGGCTTTGTAATCTAATAAAAAATTTACTCTCTGGGACAAAAAAGGTTTCAATAAACACACTCTAAAAATAAGAAATAAAAAGAGACAAGGAAATCTTCGTGTTCATAAAGTGGAAGGACTATATTTAGATCCTATCTCAAATAACTTTTAAAGCGGAGACAATAAAAAAGCTGAACAATGACTAGATATTTATTATTGTTAATTTTTTAGGTGTGAAAATGGTATCATATATGCTTCTCTCTTTGAGGTACACACTCAGGTATCTATTAATGAAATAATATGACACCTTGAATTTGCTTCAGAATAACCCAGGGAAGGGGATGAGAATTGTCTCCAACTTTCCATAAAAGAAGGGAAAAGAAAAAGCAAAATGTAGAGAGTGATAAACCTTTTTTTTTTTTTTTTTTTTGGTGGGACCCTTGCTGGCGGCCGGGGAATGAACCAGCGCTGCAGAGGCTGCGGGCAGCCTCGCAGCCCAGCGCTCTACCGCTGCGCCACCAGGGGAGGCCCAAGAGTGATAAACTGTTAGGAAAGTTTTTGCACTTCGCAACATAGGCTGCAGAGCTGTCTTTGTGGACTCCTCTCCAGCAGCAAGGAAAACAAAAGAGAATATAAATAGGGACTACCTCAAACTAAAACGCTCTTGCAGAGAAAGAAACCTTCACTAAAACAAAAAGACACCCTCATGAATAGGAGAAAATATCTACACACCGCACACCCAAGGAGGCTCTGATATCAAAGATCTACAAAGAGCTCCTAGAACTCAACAGAAAGAAAACCACCCAATCAAAAAATGGGCATAAGTGCTAAAAAGGCATTTTTCCAAAGAAGACATACAGATGCCAACGGGCACATGAAGAAATGCTCATCATCACTGATCATTAGAGAACTGCAAATCGGACCACGAGATAGCACCTCACACCTGCTGGAATAACCCATCTCAAAAAGACCAGAAACGACGAGCGGGGGCAAGAATGTGGCACAAAAGAGACCCTGGCGCTGCTGGGCATGCGGACTGGGCCGGCCCCTTCGGAGAAGGGCGGGAGGTTTCCCAACAGAGGAGCAATGGATTGCCCATGTGACCCAGCGATTTCACGCCCGGTATCTGACAAAAGCACTAACTCGAAGGGGCGGGACACACTCCACGCTCACTGCAGCGCTCCGGGACGGCCAAGCCACGGGAGCAGCCGCGCGCGGGTGACTGCTCGGCCGAAGAGGCGCGTGGACGCGGCGGAACGCCTAGCTATGAATAAGCTAGGGCGGGATGATGCTAAGGAAAATAAGCCAGAAGGAGAAAGACAAATCCTGGATGGTGTCACTTGAACGTGGAATATAGAGGAACGAAACGAAGGGCTGGTGGACAGAGCCACACGAGTAACAAACCCTGGCGGTCTGACTGCAGGACCAAGGCTGGGGGCGGGGGGGGGCAGGAGAGAACACAGCAGAGCGAGCACAGTAAACTATGGTGCAGGACTACGGGTGTTCTGGCGGTGGGTGTGGTGTGGTGACACCACCTGACGGGATGGGATCCTACATCTCCCCAAACCACAGCGCTCTAAGCCAACATGACCGCAGTTAAAAAAAAAATTTGTCAGGCTGTGTGTAAACGCCAAAGTTTGCACTGAAAATGGGATAAAGTAACCCCCAGAGATGCCACAATTAAAAAAAATTTAATCTGTATAAAGCTAATACACATAAAACACAATCTCTTACTAACGTAGAAGGCAGGGGATGCACGGAACGCCGGCCATTCAGCCTCTGAAAGCAAGAAGCCTTAGCAGGCAGGTCACCAGCTATTTGCTTTTCAATCTCGACACCACCTCTCAACTTCTAGACTAGCTTGCAGCAGTCTTAGTTGGAGCCCAGTGACCAAGTGCAGCAGCCATGGATCCTTCCAGTAAGCTATTTCAATGGGTATATGTGTGAGTGATTAAGAAGCAGGTTCTTTTTCTCTCCCCAAACGTTATTAAAGCCTTATTTAGAAAGAAAAAGCTGAAACGTGTGATGCAATGGTAGGGGGCCCGAACACATTATCAGACAGTCTGAGAGATGGGGTGTGTGGGAGCCAAATATTTATCCCTCGTTAGTTTGGATAAGGGGGCACGTGTGTGCTAAAGGAGCAATCTTCCGCTGTCCCATGGAAGGCAAGGAGCACTTAAGAGGCCTCCAGGACACTCGTGGCATGCCCACACCCATCAAGTGCTGACCCCAAAGAATCCTTCTGGTGGGGGCCCAACTTCTCTGTGCACAGAGGTTCTACGGCATCCTGTGATCGGAGCTTTACTTTAGCACCAAAGGGTGAACGGTCGCTGCTCACAGCGAGACGCTGTCTGGACACACAAACCTCCTCCCGCAGAGCATACTGCTCAATGAGCTTCTTCAGCTTCTCCCCCAGTTCGATGTTTTCCTGGCGGAGCTTGGCGTTGTGGACATCGTGCTGCTCCAGCTGCGCCTGGATCTCATTTAAAGTAATCTGGAAGTGTGCCGTCGCTTCTTTACGCCTCTCTTCCTCCTCTCGTGCCTGCTGCATATTTTCTTCCTTATTATCCAAAATAATCTCTGTTAATGGCACAGACCTGTAGATAAGATGCTCACAAAAGCTGCTGCTGCTATGTGTGTTCATCTACTGCTGCCCTGCAGTGCGCTTCTGAGCTATATATAATTCTTTCTCCTTATTTATAACCACAAGGCTCATTTTAAAGCCAGCTTTTCTTAAGTAGAGCGATCAGAGAGCTGCAAACTGCCCTGCTATTAAACAGGCGCTACGTGGCCATCCCCTAGTCACGACAGAGAGAAAGGCGCTTCTCCAGGCGCTCAGCAACTTCCACATTAGGTTCCCAGGGACCCTCCTGGCTGGGTAGCAGGGCGTCTTTTTTTTTTCTGCACAGAAGAACTGGGGTGTGGGCCAGAGGTGTGGAAGGTGAGAGGATTCACCAGAGACAGAGTAGGGAGCAGCGGGTGAGACAGGAGAGGGCTGCTGTGCCATATGTGGGTCACTCCCTGGCCGGAGATCAAACACAGGTCGTGGTGGTGATAGCGCTGAGACTTAACCCCTAGGCCACCAGAGGAGGCCAGGGGCGAGTGGGGGGGTGGGGGTGGGGTTCATCTTAAACCAACATGACCAGAGAACCCTTTGTGCAGCTTCCTCTCTAGGCCACACCTCCTACTCCCTGGAGGTGACTTCCAACTCTTACTAGGATAGGACTGGTAATAACAGACTAAACAGTCACCAGTTCCATCAAAATATTGATTTGCTACAGGAAAAAAATACCACCTACTTTAATGTCTAAATCCAAGGGTTCAGGGCCTCCCCAGTGGTGCAGCGGGTTGAGCACAGCGCTGTGAAGCTGTCCGCAGCCTCTGCAGTGCAGGTTCAATTCCCAGCCGCCCAGGGAGATACCCACATGGCACGGCAGACCTCCCCTGTCTCTCCCCTGCTCCCCTCAGCAGTGCTTTCAGTCTGTCTGCCTGTTCTGCTCCCCGCTCTGTCTCTGGTGAATCCACTTACCCTCCCGTGCCGCTAGCCTGTAACCCAGCTCTTGTATAAATAAAAAATACATCTTTAAAAAAATAAATAAATCCAAGGGTTTAAAAAGCAAAGAAAAAATGAACAGCTCCTATATCAGGTGAAGCTCCATTTCTTCAGTGCTGCTGTCCCGGGCCTTGGGGGTGACTGTGGTGGGTGTGTGACGAGGGCTTCTGCTTGGGCACCAGCCTGGGCGCCGGCTGAGGTGGAGGTGCTATGCTAAACGTACCCGGGCAGTCGGCGGCAGGGATGGGCAAAGGCAGTTTGGCAATGGCACCAGTTAACAGCGCGCCAGGCGCTCGGCAGAGGAGTTCCCTGCCAGACTCTGGCCTCGCGGCTGTTACTACTCCTTTCTCAGCCCCCCTCAGCTGCTCAGACCGGATAATGAGCTACACCAGCACTCAGCAGGAAACCGGCCACGGCGCAAGCAGGAGAGCTGCGGTGGAAACACCAGGCCCGTCTGCGCTGCCCAGGACCACGTAAGCGAGACGTGAAGAAACATGAGGCCAAGCAAAGCAGAAAGCGAAGGCAGAACTCTGTCTCTGGGTAGAGACAAGGATTTATTTCAAATAGGTATAGAGGGTTACACAACACTGAGTCAGCGCCTCCTGAACACCAGAAAAATGAACCGACCAACCTTTAACGTCTTATTGTGGCGCTGAAGCTCCCTGCAAAGGGACTCTAGTTTGCTTCTTGCCAAGATGGCCTTGCTGTGCTCACTCTGCAAGTGAACTTTCTCCTTCACGATCTGGGCTTGCTTCTTCTGCAGAATCTTCATTTGCTTCTGAACATTCCTGCTCTCTTCCAGCTGAAATTAACAAGCACTTTCATTTAGCAAGCGCAGTGGACATCTCTGAGCTACTGCTGGAAGACACACAGTGAGAGCTACGGAGCACTTTCTCACACACCAAGAATTACAGTAGTGTTTCATTTCAATTGTCTCAGGCCATGCTACTCTGGCAACCATCTCTCCCGGTTGTGACAGGAAATTAAACAAATAATTCAGGGTAGGGAAAAAAAAAACAAACAATCTCTTTAGTTTATCATTTAAAAAAGTGATGTTTTCAGAAAACTTTTTAGGAATCCATAGCATGAAGAGTTTTACTTTTCTGAAACACACACAGGCTGTAATGAAAACGGTCCTTTGAATTAGAACTTAATAAACAGCGTTCAGGGTTCCCTGTGAGAGAGGAATCACTGCAATTTTAGGTTTGGAGCAAACGAGTATATTTCAAGGTTAAGTCAACACTAGCAGAAGATGGCAGCCTCGCTGACCTTCTCAGGAAGGAGGAAATGATGCTGAGTCACAATTTCAAGAGCTACAGTGCCCCCTGGTGGCTATCACACCACAGCCAGCACCCCTCCCAGGCTAGCTGACAGCTATTAAAAACACCTTTATGGAAGCTTCTGCCCCCCTGAATCACTTTGTTTCTGCGTGACAGTTTGTAAAGCAATCTGCCTGCCGACCACGGGCTGCGGCCCAGTCAGAGATGGCTGGTCCGCAGCAGGCCACCTGCAATTCTATGAGCACTGCAGCCCCTCTGGGCTCAAGGAAACACGATCCTGAATCCTGTAGTCTTTTGCTCACCTCTTTATCTCACCTCTGCTGGTCCTATATGAAATCACTGGTTTTAGTTGTTTTGACTTTATTGTGCAACTGAGAAAGTGAATTTTTTAAATTTTCTTTAAATTTAAGCTTCAGTTGCCAGATGTGGCTAATGGCCACTGTTTCGGACAGCAGGGCTGTAGATTATATTGCTAGAACTCATCCATATCGCTTGTATGTAGGTATGGATTAGGGGTCAGTGACCTTTTTCTGAAAAAGACCAGGAAGTAAGTATTTTAGGCTATGGGCCACTAAGGTCTCTGCTGTGTCATCTTTATTAAACCAAGAGACAATGTATATAGAGAAAGAATCTGGGCTGTCTGCTGGCATCAAAACACAGGCCAGGGCCCCCCCGGTGGCGCAGTGGTTGAGTGCTGGGTTGCAAAGCTGCCCGCAGCCTCTGCAGCGCCGGTTCAATTCCCGCTGCTTCCCGGCCACGGGAGGAGGGTCCCACGTGGCGCGCAGACCTCTCCTGCCGCCCGCTGCTCCCCTCAGCAGTGTACTTCAGTCCTTCTGCCTGCTCTGTTCCCCGCTCTGGCTCTGGTGAATTCTCTCACCCTCCCATGCTTCTGACTGTACCCAGTGCTTGTATAAATAAATAAAAATAAATCTTTAAAAAAAAAAAAAAAACCCACAGGCCAGGAGCTAACCTACACTGCTTTTTCTGTCTTTTATACTCTTGTCTCCAATTTAAACGTTTCCCTTCTTGTTCTCATCTTTCCCTACTGCTCCCCTCACATGGAGGGCTCTGATAGGGCCTCTCTTCCTGAGCCACAGGGCACCCCTTCTCCCAAAGCCTGCGACCTGACCCCGAGCGTTCTCTACCATCCTGCAATGTGGCTGTTGGAGGTCACCAACACCGATGCTACTGCTGCTTTCCTACTGCTCCACGCAGAAGGTGCCAGACTGCTGAATACCAGCTACGTAAGTACACACGGACCCCTTCATAAACAACCGAGGGAAATTTTTCGAATAACAAACAATTCATTTTTTAAAGCTGGCCACTGACAACTTAATGCTATAGAATGACTGCTTCAGCAGATGGAGATGCGTGTCCGCGTGCTCGCTGGTGACGGCTCACAGAGTGCTTCCCCACGGGCGCCGACTGCAGCGCGCGTATCAGGACCACTCCCGCCGGGCCTCCCACAACTCTTCCTTCAAAGGAAGAGTGTCCCGTGCCTTTCCTCGTCTTCACATTACAGATGGCAGTGCTTTCCATATTGAGAGTGCTTTCAGAATTTTACTAAAAAAAAAAACCTTGATTTTTTTATTTAGCCTTCTGGCTCTGTTCTTGTGCCGGCAACACTTCCACAATGATTTTCTGCTCCTCAATAAGAAAAGCCTGCCGGATCCTGTCCCAGACACGTTTAGCCCACATGGAGCCACCACGGGCCTGGCTGACATGTCTTTTTGCTTCCGACGGCCTCATAAGAACGCCCCAAAGTCAGCCTGGCCACCCACCACATGCGGGTCTTGGTGCTGTCCCAGCCGTCCTGGTCTCAAGGTGAACAAATTCTATTACCAAGGGTTTGGGACGACCTAGTTCTGGGGAGTCTATGATGGTGTGTCAAAGGCTGGACCATGATGAATGCCTCCAGACACCATCCCCAAAAGAGGAAAAAGAAAGCCACTTTCATAATTTTAAAGAGAAATAATGCTCCCTGAAATAACATAGGATCAGTGCAAATGAGGCTTGGAAGATGGAGAAAGTAATGCCTGGCAGACAGTAGATGCTAAATATTTCCTCAAACACAGTATTGTTTTGGTACACTATTTCATCTCCCGGTTTCAATCAATTCTGGAGATAATGGTATTATCTCCAGAATTCCCTTGGGGGAAATTAAATATAGGAACCACTACACCCCAATTGAATGAAAAGGCTGACTTAGAAATACTCTTAAGACCCACTTTCACAAAATTTATATCATATCTCAGCATTATAATAATAGTTCTATATGTATCACTGTATAAAATGAAATCATACAAATGAACATCAGCCCCAAGAAATCGTTTTGTTTAAATCTCACACTGTACCAAATCATACTTTAAAAAAGCTCACTAAGCCCATACACACTTAATTGCAGTTTATACGGCCCTCCCTTGATTTAATACTCACAAGATCAGCATATTTCTTACAGAGAGCAGCCAGCTTCTCTTCTGGAGTTGAAAGGGTGTTTAGGGCTTGCATCAATAATAAAACTTCTTTTCCTGATGATAAACAAAATAAGAAATAAGTCCTGAAGGATGAAGATCAAATCTAACCTGAAAAATCCTATATAACACTTCCTGTGTTCTGGTATTCAGTATAAAACAATTTACAGTATAACTAGAAATAAGAGATTTACCAGCTAAATTAAGAAAGTTATTTTTAAATTCTGGATTAACAGGAACCCTTGCATCCCCAGCCCCACCCCCAAATTCCTTCACTCACTTATAACCTTGCTTGCTAGCTACTTGTAAGAATTCTTGCTAAAAGCTTAAATTTCCCTTGCTTAACCACTGGAGTCCAAGGTAAGACCAAGGGCAAGTTACAAAGGGCAGAAGATTTTTATAAGCTTCCTCCTAACCAAGTACAAATATAGAAGCAAGTTCAAAAGTAACTTCAGCTGGAACTGTCTGCTAGCTAGGATGCACAAAAACACTTAGGACAAATATCCCATCCTGGGAGCAATTTAAGTAACTCCTGATGATTTTAATAGGCATAGTCCATGTATTTACCAAGTGTAGTATAAACAAAAAGATGTCAAGACAGCACTTCCCTTTGGGAAGAGAGATTAACAACAGTATTTTAAGGGCTTTGGTGGGGAGAAGCAGGTGGCTGAGATAGGAGGGGACAAATGGTATTTCAAAATAAATGATGATGGTCTGTTTCTTAAGCAGGGTGGTAAGTACCATTTTTATTTTTTGGAATATTCATTCATATGTAACATTTCATTTAAAATATATAATAAAGTGAAACATAGAGACTGCTATGAGAGAAAGGCAGGTTGATCTCAAAATAGAATACTTTTTTCCACCCACATAAAATTTTAATAAAAATCTTCACTTTGACATTCAGAGCACTGGGCAGAAATAATAAAAATCTCACACACTCTCTTACTGGAACAGGAAAACACACACACACACATCTCTCATTCAGCTCAAGGCCAATAAGAATTTTTTTTTTTTTAAAGATTTATTTATTTATTTATACAAGCACTGGGTACAGTCAGAAGCACGGGAGGGTGAGAGAATTCACCAGAGCCAGAGCGGGGAGCACATCAGGCAGACTGATGAAGTACACTGCTGAGGGGAGCAGTGGGCGCCGCAGGAGAGGTCTGTCGCGCCATGTGGGACCCTTGCCGGCGGCCAGGGATCGAACTGGCGCTGCAAAGGCTGCAGGCAGCTTTGCAGTCCAGCATTCAACTGCTGCGCCACCAGGGAAGGCCCCCAATAAGAATATAAAGAGGGGCTCACCGGTAGCCTATGGTTTAAGTCTCAGTGCTATCACTACTACAGCCTGAACTCAATCCCCGGCCAGGGAGCTGACCCACAGGATGCAGCAGACCTCTCCTGTCTCACCCGCTGCTCCCCTCAACAGTATATTTCAGTCAATCCACCTGTTCTGCTCTCCACTGTGTCTCTGCTGAATCCTTTTACCCCCTGAACCTCTGGCCTACACCCCAGTTCTTCCACAGATACATATTTTTTTTAAAAGAGTATTAAGAGATGATGAAATATGATTATTGAGTATGACTAGAAATAATTCTAATGTAACCTGAAGGTCTTATAAATGTTTTTAACCTCACACTGCATCTAAGATTGAGATACAACTAACATATCATAAAATTCACCTCTATTCACAAGTTGTACAACCACCACCAATGTCTATTCTAGAACATTTCATCATCCCAACTAGAAACTCTACCCCTATCAGCAGTGACTCCCCACAGTTCCCTCCTCCAGGCCCCTGGCAATCAACCATTCTACTTTGTGTGGCATGGATCTGCCAATTCTGAACATTTCAAAGAAATTGGAATTATATTATATGTGGCCTCGTGTGTCTGACTTCCTTTACTCGGCATTGTGTCAAGGTTCACCCACATAATCTATCAGTGCTTTCCTCCTTTTTATGGCTGAATCATAGTACAGAGGCATCATCTTGTTTATTCACTCACTGGCTGGTGGATGACTATGGTTTTGACTTCTGGGGCTATTAGGAATAATGCTGCCATGAACATCTGTGTAGGTTTTTTGAGTGGACATGTTTTCAATCCTCTTGGGTATACACCTACAGGCAGTATAGCAAGGGCGCATGGTAATGTATGTAACTTTCCAAGAGTTCATCTGCTTTTACACATATAATTGCTGGTTTTGAAGAAATCTGTCTAGTTTGTAAGGAATTAAAATTATTTTTCAGATTTCTGTACATTTTAAAGTTTTCCAAGTAAGCAAAAAATGGATTTAATAAGGAAGTTAACTCTAATTTAACATATAACACACACACACACACACACACACCCATACAAATCAAACATTGATGAGAAGTATAAAAAAACTCAGGGGCAACAAAGCTAAAATAAACAGAGATTTCAGATTTCATGAGATTTAACATAGCACATTCTTAGTCCTAAATCTCAAACACAGCAGGAGAAAACAAAACATACCCTTGAACGCCAGTCCTAACCCACTTGCTAAACTACCGATGATATTGTCTCTAAAGTTTCCTGACTAGTTCCTAAACAAAACGTTATCAAACAATACAGTTTTCATAGTACATTCTGGTCATGCTACCATTAAAGATACAAGCCAGGGAAATTAAGTACTACCTCAAAAATTTTTAAGCCAATTCTTGATTAGTTAAGAGAGAAATAACTAAACTTCCTGTCTACTGTCTGCCCCCTGCACTCACAGCAGCGCACGCGCTAACTAAGCCCAAAGACAGAAAGCAACATCCCCGCCACGACACGGGCGTGTTCACAGCCGCCTGCTGTGCGGGGAAAGAAGTAAAACAAGCCGCCTGTGAAAAGGCGCAGCCACCCAGCAGAGCTTATTACCTAGGGTTTTTTCTTTGTTCCTGTTACACTCCGAATCTTGCCGGCCATCAGGGGGGTCTGTTCGAGCTTCTCGTCCCGGAATCCCCTCTCGTGGCGCTTGCGTGCAGAAGGCCTGACTCACCAAGTCCCGGCTCTTCGCTATGAAGTCGCCGCTGTCGTTATCGTCTCGTGAGTGCTTGTTACTTGTGCCGCCACAGCGTGAGTCTTGATGCTGAAGAATGTCATTTGATTGAGAGTTATGCAACATATCTGCTTTCACCCCCAGCCCGCAGAGTCCAGCTTCTTCCGTTGTGCCAATCACAAACTAAAGGCGAGGGAAAGGCAAGAAGAGATGGAAAGGTGGTCAATAAAAATATAATCACTGTCTACAACCAGCAGTGCACGGCAGCGTGATGCTTTTTCTCTTTCTTAGTGATTTCTAAACCGACATAAATAGGCAGTTTCTAAGTTCCACTGAGAGGTGACCTAACTGTGAAATACGAGAAAATCAAAGTTAAAACAATCACATGAATGGTACACCAAAGAAGCAAAAATTGCCATTTAGTTGTGAATCTTAACTTATTCCCATAAAAATTCACCACTCAAAATAATTAGCATCGTTACAGACCTAAACTGATCCCAGGTCAGTGGACAACAACTATCCTGGTCTTCTCCTCAAGGGGCTGGGACAGCCGAGATGGCACTCTAGCTACCCAGCAAAAACCCACGGTCCTCCGCCAGGGCTCTGCCAGGGCCTACATTTCCCAGGCTCCCGGCATGGTGGGGGGATTCCCACGTGCAGTTTCCACCAAGTGATGTCTATCCCTTCTGCACTAACTTTCACCCTTAGAAGCACGCATCTTTCCCCCAGGTGCATCTCGACACCACTCTGGCTGAACACAGAGGTCTCAGTCTCCAAGACCCTAAGAGATGGCAGGGCCACAGCTGAAAGCAGCACTGGGCCCCTAAATTCCATGTACACGCAAGGGAAGCCACCCTTCTTACAAAGAACAGCTCCACTGGACTATTAGAGGAGTAAAACAATTTCTCTCATGTTCTTAAAAAAAAAAATAATGCATTAAGGGGACATAAGCTGTCTATTTCAAAGTAATGGATGCCACGCTCTAAACCTAATTCAGATTTTTAAAAAATTATAAAAGTATGTTGGAAAGACTCTTAAAAATGCTTCCATGGTCTCCCTGGTGGTGCAAGGGGTTAAGTCTCAGCACCATGAAGCTATCGGCAGCCACTGCAGCACAAGTTCGATCCCTGGCCAGGGAGCTGACCCACATGGCACAGCAGACCTCTCCTGTCTCTCCCTCTGCTCCCCTCAGCAGTGTACTTCAGTAGATCTGCCTGTTCTGCTCCCCACTCTGTCTCTGGGGAATCCTCTCACCCACCCCACACCTCTGGCCTATACCCCACCTCTTGTATGCATAAATAAATCTTTAAAAAAAAATGCTTCCAAAATTTTTTAAAATTCCCAACCATACACAATACATTTCATAGAGCAGAATTTCTCAATTCATAGGTAGTAAGTTTACAAAGAATTCCTGGGGAACTTACAGTAAACACCTTGTTAGATTTCATTACTGCAGGACCTTTGTAAAATCAGTAATACACCCAAATAACACACAAGCATTAATATCAAACCAAATGCCAAGTTATTATTTTAATGCATTATCCATACAGTTCCTTGTTCTATTTTATATTAAATATGAAACTGTCACATACTAGAAGAGCATATGAATACTCTAAGAGCCCCTTTACACGAAAGCAATGCAGAGGAAAAATGAGCACTATTAATACCATCTTTCCCAATTTTTAAAAATAATTTTCAAAACTGTTCCCTGAAAACTAAGTTTGACGACGGGGCCACCCCACCACAGTGTGGGCCTCAATACTGATGAAAGTCTGTTACAAGATAACTAAAATGAAAGACTGCTTATCTCCAAGGCATGACAGAATTTCCTCAGAAGCGCGATGGTAATACAACCCACAAGCCCCCAGGAGACGGCGTCAGGCCTTCTCCAGCAGACTCTGAGCGCGCGTCTGCGGGGACGGGAGGGGAGCACAGCGGTCCCCACGGAAAATCCGAGGACGTGTCCGCGATCCGCTTCAGTAATCATGCCAGCCTGCCCTGGATCGGGTGCTGCTGAGGTGTTCCGTTGTTCTGACTTTTGTTTAAACCCCCTTATCAAGATGTTATTCAGATACCATATAACCCAAGGCCTGAAAGCATACCAGTCACTCCCTGTTAGTGAACCTGGAAGGCTGTGCAACCACCACTCTAATCAATTTATTTATTTTTTTTTTTAAAGATTTTTTTTTTTTTAATAGAGGCATGTTTTTCTTTTATTTATTTGTTTGCTTGTTTGTTTGTTTTGTTTATACATGCACTGGGTACAGTCAGAAGCGCAGGAGGGTGAGAGAATTCACCAGAGCCAGAGCGGGGAGCAGAGCAGGCAGAAGGACCGAAGGACACTGCTGAGGGGAGCAGCGGGCGGCAGGAGAGGTCTGCGCGCCATGTGGGACCCTCCTGCGGTGGCTGGGGAGCAGCCGGGGATCGAACCGGCACTGCAGAGGCCGCGGGCAGCTTCGCAACCCAGCGCTCTACCGCTGCGCCACCGGGGAGGCCCTCTAATCAATTTAGAATACTCTCGTCATCTCAAAAAGAAGCCTTGCATGCTTCAGCTGTCAACACCTAATCCTCCCATCTCCTGCCCCCCACCCCGGACAATTAATGTACTGTCTCCGTAAATTCTGGAGCTGTCACACAAGTGGAACCATGCACATATATAGCCTCTAGCTCCTGGCTTCTTGTGCTTAACGTAATGTTTTCAAAGTGGGTGCATGTAGCGCGTATCAGTACTTCATTCCTTCTAATGGCTGAATAATATGGCATTGGATGGACACAGTCCACATTCTATTTATCCATCCATCAGCGGATGGGTATTTGGATTGCTTTCAACTTTGGTGGCTGTGAATAACTGTTATGAACATTAGTGCACAAATCTGTGTGTTGACATACATTTCCCTTTCTCCAGGGTGTGTGTGCATACATTATGTTATTATACACACACAGACACACACACCCAGGAACTGCTGGGTCATATGGTCATTCTACCCTTAACCTTTAGATGAACTACCAGGCTTTTTCTAAGCAATGCACTGTTTCTCAGTCCCACCAGCAGTGCATAAGATTTCCAATTTCTCCACATCCTCACCAACACTTGCTATTATCTGCTCTTTTGATTACGGCCATTCTAGTGGTATGAAGGCATATCATCTAATGAGTAATGATGTTGAGAATCTTTTCATGTGCTTACTTGTATACCTCCTTGGAAGAAATGTTTATTCAGATCCTTTCCCATTTTTAAAAAAGATATATTTATTTATGCATGCAAGAGCTGGGGTATAGGCCTAAGGTGTGGGGGGTGAGAGGATTCACCAGAGATAGTGTAGGGAGCAGAACAGGCAGATCAACTGAAATACACTGCTGAGGGGAGCAGCGGGCGAGACAGGAGAGGTCTGCTGTGCCATGTGGGTCAGCTCCCTGGCTGGGGATCGAACTTGTGCTGCAGTGGCTGCTGAGAGCTTCATAGTGCTGAGACTTAACTGGCCCACTGCTCCCCTCAGCAGTGTATTTCAGTCAATCCGTCTGTTCTGCTCCGCACTCTGTCTTTGGTGTATCCTCTCACCCCCTGTACCTCTGGCCTGTGCCCAGTTCTTGTATGCATAAATAAATCAATCTTAAAATAAAGACAAATACCTGCTGGTTTCATTCATAGGAGGAATATACAGAAACAAAACAAAAGATCATAACAAATCAAACCCAAAACAAACGCTAGGACCTTTTTGGCGCTTGATAAACCAAGCATTCAACATAGCATCACATTCAATAGAAACACTTCTTTTACTTCGGGTTTAAGATCCTGCCCCTCCAGTTCCGACGGGGTGACATCTGACTCTTTGTCATTGTATATATTTTCAGCCTGGAGATGACAACCAAATAAATGCACAGGTAAAACTCGCGCTGGGGGTTTGACAAGCTACCAGAGAGGGAGGGAAGAGAGCAAAGGGCTATGGGTGCTCGGTGTTAGGTGCGATAGGGTAACATGGAAACATGCATCCGAAGAGGTGTGAGCCAATACTCCTCAATCACATACAGTACTATAAACCAGTGTTACCTCAATTAAAAAAAATAATCTGTATTGTACACATCCCTCACATCTCATGTTTTCCTTGCAATTTTATTTCATCTTTCTCTATTTTCAGTTACTACTTTTTTGTCTTCAAGGCACTCCTTTCACACATATTCCATTACCACCTATTTGGCACGTATATCCTTCTAGACAGCAATAGCTCGTGCATAAAAAGTACTCAAATGTCAGTGGATGGAAAACACAAGGGAGCAAAATGGGTGCTGAACACAAGCCATGTAAAGCACCTAAGTATTACACACACAGTAGGAAAAACACCACTATTATTATTTTATCATTATAAGCAAGATAGTATCACATTTCCTTGCTCTCCTATGTAACTAATTTTGATATATCATATTTGGATATTTTTCACATTTGCTAATGAAAGATTTACTTTGATTTTACAAAATCTTTTGTTTATGAATAAGCCCAGTTCTAGCTGGTCTTGATTCAAACCTTATTCACTCTTGAAATAGCAGGCCTCAATTTTTCTACTGTAAAGGACTATTTGTTCAAGAACCTCCTTGAGGTATCAAATAGCGCTGGGCTATTTGATATATAGCACATTCTTAGGGCAACAACCTTATTTAAATTGTAAATGATTTCTCAGCCCTCATCAACTTAAGCAGAAAATTCTGTATCATGTGGCCAATATAACTCCTTATTCTGCCCTCTTAGATAACCATTCTGGATGCCTTTTCTTGGGTACATTCTCTTATACAAACAAATAGTATCAGCTAACACATATAGAAAATACTACATTCAGACAGTACCCTAAGCACTTTACTATATTAACTAATTTAATCCTCACAATTAAAACATACAAATCCTATTATTATCTCCATTTTGCAAATGCGCAAACTGTGGCATGGTGACGTTAAGTATCTTGGCTAAGGACACAGCAAACTGGAGAGCAAAGATTTAAACCCTGGCAGTCTAGCTTCCAAGTTCATGCTCTTAACCTCCCTAAACATGCTTGGTCTACTGCCCAGCCTTCTCACAGAAGTTAGTTAATAGTTAATAATGGGGACAGATGTGACCAAAATATAACATGTAAAGATAAATTACACAACAGCATGCCATGTATATATTACACACACACAAACACACACACACACGA